TTTTTTTTTTGTCTGACCAGTAATTCCAGGCGATCGCAACCAAGTTCAAGGAAGCGAGGTTCGGTAACCGTGTACCGAACCCTCCATCTCTCCGGCTGTTGTTCCTGCTTGACGATGAGAATTTGCCTGTTGAGCGCAACATCTTCGACTCGTCCCCCGCGCATGAATTGTTTGAGGAGCTGAGCCACAAGGCGAATTTCTTCGTCGCTCGCAAGCTCCTCGCTGCCATGCCGGAGAAGGCATTGCTTCGTCGCCAAGCTACGCCCATCCCTCGTCGTTTCCAGACCTTCGTCGAGAGGATGAACAGGCTTGGTTACGAGATCGATCCCACTAGCAGCGGAACTCTGCAGTGCAGTCTCTTCAAGGTGGAGGATGCTGATCTTCGCAAGGTAAGAGGCACTCTTCCGGCGCCAGTCTGGTTGGGGCAATCGGATTAATTGACTGTTGAACAGGGTATGGAAACCCTTTTGATCAAGTCCATGCAACGTGCCAAGTACTACGTGGCTGGTAATGTGCCGGAGGACCAGCGCCAGCATTATGCACTGAACCTCCCGATCTATACTCACTTCACTAGCCCCTCGCGACGCTATGCGGACATCATCGTTCATCGCCAACTCGAGGCTATTCTGTCAAATGGGGCCGTCGAGTTCACTGAAGATGTCGAAGCGCTTCAGAAGACAGCGGATCAATGTAACAACAAGAAAGACTCCGCCCACAACGCTCAAGAGCAGAGTGTGCACATTGAGGCGTGCCGCACGATGGACAAGAAGAGGCAGGAGATTGGCGGTGACCTTATCAGCGAGGGAGTTGTTATCTGTGTGTACGAGTCCGCTTTTGACGTTCTCATTCCCGAATACGGCTTCGAGAAGCGTGTCCACTGTGACCAGCTGCCACTGAAGAAAGCCGAGTTCCGCAAGGAAGAGCGCGTTCTTGAGCTGTACTGGGAGAAAGGCGTGCCGTCGTCGGCCTATATTCCCGAGGATGAGCGTCCAAAGGCAACCAACACCCGTGCCGCTCTGGCCGCCGCGGAGGCCGAGGCCGCCAGAGAGCGTAGAGAGAGGGAGGAAGCCCAGCGCAAGCAGACGGAAACGGGCACCATGTCGACCGACGATGTGGATGCTCTTTTCGATGATGATGACGACATTTCTGAGGTCACCGAGATGGCGGCTGGCGTTTCTCTGAACTCCTCCGTGGACCGTCCGACCCAGAGCATGCCTCCATCGCCGACCCGGAATGGTCCCGTTGAACCCGAACAAACTCCTCACCGCACTCGCTCGGACCCGAAGCTTGCCATCAGCGCCAGTGAAACTCCTGAGGCCAAATTGACGAACAAAGAGAAGTATCTGAAATTGTTCAAGCTTCGCGAAGAGGATGGGGAATACATTCAGGATGTGACCGAGATGACTCGTGTGCCGATCATTCTGAAGACTGATCTAACCAAGAGCCCTCCGTACGTGCCTAAAAAAAAAGGCCCCCTTGATGAATGATGAGTGAATGATACTGACCTGTGATGATAGATGCTTGACCATTCGGTCCGTGAACCCCTACGCCTTGTGAAGCCACGCATGAAATGTCAGCCACATGTATATCTGTTTCCAAGCAACGACCCTCGGTCACGCCCATCTCGGTCTCACCGAACGAACCGGCCCCTACATGTGATAGTCGATATAAGTAATTCTATAAACACTCGCCGTCTCGACACCTTACCTTTGTCGGTGCTTATCCCTCTAATCAACCAGTTTTTAATCTTTGTGCCTATTCTAGTGGTTTTTTCAATTATCTTTCCTGTGATATTCGTTTGTCCAGTTTACATACTCCCTCAGACCGACGGTTTCGGTGGAAGAGATTCCATGAGCCCTGGTCGCGTTTAATTGTTCCACCTGTGGAGACAGGTGTTATGCCGGTGGAAAGAAGAGAAAAAGAGAATTTTTTTTGTACAAGCTTGGACGTGCAGTTGAATATGGGAAAGGGCAATTGATTAGAATGTGTGGGAGAAAGCGTCCAACCGACAGAGAAAGGAGGAGGACGGAACGTATAAGTATTGAGTTGCAAAATTATAGTGATGGAGGAAGATTGTCTGCAAAGGTGCTATTTTCCCTAATCCTCTGGAAACAATAACACCGGTTTTAGAGAATTGCATATGTTCTACAACACATTACCCCTGTCTTCGCTTGGGTGATTTGCATCTTCTAGATATGATGACTGCAACCTTTTTTACTCCCTGGACACATGGATATATAGATTAGACCTGCTGTCTGTGTCGATTTCAAAGAGCAGAGAAGAGTAGGGTAGACAGGATAGACGCAGAGAATGAACGCATGCATGAATGCAGCCATCTTGACGGTCCAAAGATGAAGGAAGGGATCTTAAACAAAAAAGAAATACCCCATTTGTGTGATAGTACTGTATAATAGTAGTCAAGCAAACCGCAGAGTCAGACCTAAGTTATGTAACCAAAATCCCAATCTCAATCCTAATCCCAATCATACTCTCCCGATAATGGCCCCTTCCAATCTATCTATCTAATCTATCTATCTATGATGCCAGAATCGATTATGCTCGTGGAATTAACTAATAACGAAAACGAAACAAAAACAAAAGAAAATGAAAGGGAAGGGGAAGGGAAGGAAGGTAAAGGAAGGTAAAGGAAGGTAAAGGATACAGAGAACCTGCATCCCAATATTGCCATGTCCCATCCAGAAATGCACTGGTCTAATCTATCCTATCCCTTTTGGTTCTTTTTTGTTGTCTTTGGTCTATCGCCAGGTTTGTCTGTATGTCTTTCGTTCCAATGTCATGAAGTCGTTCAGTCATTCATTCATTCATTCATTCATCATTTCATCGTCGTCATCGTCATCATCATCAAAATCGTCAACGTCGTCATCAATATTAAGTCTTTCCCTTTCTTTGTCTTCCGTCTTTCTCGCCCGCCTAATAAAAGAAAAAAAAGAAAAAGAAATATTTGCACCGCTGGGAACGAGTGTCATAGTAAGCAGGATGGATGGAAATCAGGCCGAACAATATACAAGCTGAGACCAAAGCTAAAGCCTGCGAACGCCAACTCTGGGTTTGGCTTTCGTACTCGACGAAGCGGCCTTGCGGGGAGGACCTGAGATCGGTTTGGTGATCTTATTAGGTGCCAGAGGTTTTGTGGCTATCGAGGAAGATGATGATGATGATGACGATGACGACGATGATGTACCAGCATTCTTCGGGATGACTCCTCCCGCGGCTGGCTCTTTTGAGCCCGTCGTCAGGCTCGTTCCCAGGTTCTCCTTCCCCTGGCTCACGGAGCGATTGTTAGGGTTGTTGGTAAGGCTTCCATGGCTGTCTTCGTAGATCGCGTATTGCGATTGAGAAGATCCTTGGGCACCAGTTCTCGAGGCTAGGATTGTTGTCGTGTTTGGAGACGGTACTCTGCTGGGACCGCTGCTCAGGTTGGATAACTTCGGAGACTTCCTCGGAGAGGAGCCGTCTCCCCTCTGTGAAGACGTATTGCTGTTGTTCGCTGCGATGTTCTTCTCTGAAGGAGTCATTCCATCATACATCGTCTCGTCTGTATCAGCCATGACTATGTCCGTATCAATCGGTGTTGCTAGAACAGATAGTGGCCGCTTTCCCAGGACATTTTTCCTGGGACTTGGCGGCGGGATGGTCACCGGAGATGGGGATAAGGACGGATCGTTCTCTTTTGAGGCTATCGCCGGGTCGTCGTCCTCGTCGTCTGAAACATTGGCCACCGAACCCTGCTCATGGGATTCTCGTTCGCCTTGACTCGACCGTTCCTGGTTCTGGGTGGGTTTCTTTTTCATGATCAAAGACGTTGCCCTTGTCGATTTGCGAACAGCAACCGGTTGCAGATCTTCCTCCATGCGGATCGCCATTTGTGGATCTTCGCCTCTTCGCTTGGCTTCCATGACCGCCTCTTTCATTTCTGGTGGTATCGGAGCATGAATTGACGTCATGAGCTTAGCCTGACGGGCGAATGCCTCATAGTCTTCCTGCAACAAGGCCCCTGCTGCCGAGTTCAATGCGGAGTCTGGATTTGGATGGATCAGGAGACACGAAATTGTCTGATCAGGTCAAGAAGTATTAGCAAGTTTCTATGACAGTCAAGACCTCTCCGGATACTGACAATTAATATATCTCTAAATGTCAACTTGGGCTCCCAGTCTCTCTTGAGTGTGTCGACACACACAGCGCCCGTCGATTCCTCCACATTCGGATGCCATATACGGGTTTTAAAGAAAGCCTTCGGTGGGCTCTGCGGGTAGTCTTCCGGGATTTTCAGATGCAACCGCCAGAGACCGCCTGAGTATGGCGTTCCATACGGTCCAGTCAGAAGAACCGTCAGCTGGGTTAGGTCGTCGCCTGCCGAAGAGTGTGCATCTGAGCTGGGGAAAAGGTAATTTGGAGGAAGGTCGGAATTGTGAAGGTCGGCATGGTCCGCGACGAGGCGACGCAAGTTCGAGACCTGATCATAGTCGACGTTAGCTTTCGCATAAACAGGTAAATCCTGTTATCGAGTGTATTGGGTGTTTTCACGATTGTGATTATGTCCTTACCATGATGAGTTTTGACGTTGCAGCTTGCAACGTCAATGAAAGTAAATATATGTAAACGAGCTCTCTAGGTCACGTTGCTTGTCCTGGTCGTTGAGATGCTGCTGGTCCCTGTCTCAAACGACAACCAATCCCAAAATAAGATAAGCGGCTCAATTTTCGGTAAATAGTATTCGTTGCTGTACGTCACGAAGCTCTATAATATTAGCACAGGATAAGATCGCGATGATAGTTAAGATGATGCTTATTGCGCAGGTTGCCCGGGAAAAGCGGTTGTTTTGGGCCTCTGACGTGGGCCAGGACGGTCTAGACGCTAGTCCTGATACGGACAACAACAACCTTACGCGTCCGTGGCCGCCGAAAGAGGAAAGTCACCTGAGACGACGCGCTCCTTTCGCGTTTTGGTTGTTTGCGTTGTTTGCCTGGCTAATTACTTTACCTAGACGGGTATGGCGCTGTCATCCCTTGCCTTCTCTATCAATCACAGCAGCAAGATGCAAGGAAAAATACTCATTATTGAGGTTTATACAATGAATTTCCGCCAGGATCCAGTTCGGAATGCCTACGAAGAGATCCAGTTGGCTACATTTTATACCATATTGCAGTTATGGCCGAACTATCGGCGACAATACCATAAACCCTTACTCTGAACAACGAAACAAGCCAGGAACCCATTAACCCTTCATTAAAATTACTATTGGCTTTTGTATACAGGAAAAGATGCATGTACACAAGGGGATGGACTATGTCCTGTCGAATTGATGCCTTTGTTGCACCGAATCCGGGAGCAGGACAAGCCCACCCCGAATTGTATGGCACTATTGCCTAAGAAGAGAAGAACCACCACAAGAAATTGTCCAAATCCCAAAACCACAAAACCCCCCAGCTCATTACTTCATGGTATCATGCAGAGTACAGCAGGAAGTGAGGTGATTGCGGGATGAGCCGCTCACAGGAGGGCAGCGACGGCGGCACCGGCGACGAGGCCAACGCCAAGAGGACCAGCGGTGGCCATGGCAGCACCGGCCGAAGAGGAAGAAGACTTAGGCTTGGAAGAAGAAGAAGAGGAAGAAGAGGAGCCAGTCTCAGAGCTGCTGGACGCAGTAGTGGTGTCAGAGCTGCTCGAGCTGCTAGTAGCGGAGGCGCTCGCTTGAGAAGAAGAGGCGGCAGCCTTGGAGCTGGCCACGGTAACGAAGCTGCTAGCAGAGGGCACCTGGACCGGGATGCTGGAAACGCCAGCAGGCAGAGAGGCAGCAGGGTGTTGCGAAGTCACCACGGCGGGCTGAGAAGTGACAACAGCGGGCTGAGAGGTCACCACCTCCGGCTGGCCGGTCACGGCACCCAGCGAGTTGGTCTCAGTGAGGTACTGGGTAGCGGGGTTAGACTACAGAGCAGCGAAATTAGTCACAATCAGACCGATCTCAGGCGATACTCACCACCTCACTAGGAGACGCAGAGTGCTGGGCAAGAGCAGCAGCCGAGAAAGCGAGGGTAAGGATGGAGGAGCGCATCTTGAATGTTTTTCTTGTAGTATAAGGCTCGCAACGACCTCGGTGATGACTGATTCACGGCACTGCTGTCGAGACTGGTGTCAAGGGACTGAGGAGAGGAAGTGGACGATGCTGGAGTCCGGTCGCCTTTAAATCAGAGGACCAGTTGTCCAGTGCAACAACCTAGCAATGCTTGTGCCCTGCCACATCCCCTGCAAATGTCAGTTTATGGCCAGGGACAGGCAACTCTGGCGATGGGATCCACCCGCCAAGGGCCATGTTTCTCCTCCGCAGGCCAGCATTTTGTTGGCTTTGTCCCATACGAGCCAGCAGAGTGTCTCTGATTGACGTCTCGCATTCGCTGCTGGTCCAGTCGAGACCACGACAAGATCCCAGCCCTGCACGCCCCCCGCGCCCAATTTAGTGTGTGGATCTCCACCTTGATTCGTTTTCCGATCCTCCTGCCCGGGTGGCGCTGTTCAGCCTGCGTAAGCGGCCTAGTTTGCTTCGACAAGTTTCATCTGCGCGTTTCTATCCTTCTGTCCTAGTCGCTAGCCGCATACGCGTTTGGGCTGAGCATAGTATCGCCATCGGTGTCGCCATCGGGGCGATGCAGCTGTCGTACGACAACCCGTTTCGAAAGCGAAATTGTATTACACCGACCATAAGAGCCTCAATGGGTTGTCTCTTGGCTAGATAATCGTAACGAGACGCCATACACACAGGAGACCTATAGAAAGGACCTGCAGAACGCAGGGGTAAAGGAGAACTGCATGATAGAAGGCAGGAGTAGGGAAGGGCTTGTGTTGCGAACACAGGAGACGGCAGCTGTCATGCTGCTTCTCGTGACACCTCAGTCAGTGGACCAGTCATATGCCACTGTGCTGCACGGCTATAGGTCCCTGGGGACCAGGTAATAATATTGCTCCAAAACGATCATGATCAAGCCACTCGCAGCCAAGATTCCCTTTCTTTTTCCCTTTCTTTCTTAGGGCCTCAGGCAATAATAACTGCATCGCTATCTAATCTCCTTACAGCTTCACGTTAATTAAGATTTGCCCTGGACATGGATGAGATGATTCGGGCGTGTTTGAGATTGCTCCCCGAAACAAAAGCCCTGAATCGTATCAGATCGATGGCACCATCGGTAAGAATAACATCACTCTTTTCATTGTTACCCGGGTCCTGACATTTTTCTTTCATCATCAACATCATGAGGTACACTAGAAATTAAGGTGCATGGCCAAAGTACAGTGTAACAGGGTACTCCGTACATTACAAGTGACTCCACGACTGAAATTACCTAATTACCGTAGGGGAGGTACCTCGGTACCTAGGCAATTGTTACTATTGGAGAAGAGAACAACAGGAATCTTCTAGCAGACGCGATTGGACCTGCTGTCCATGGGCTAGACTTCGTGGTTGGTCCACGTACGTGCGAGTGTCGCCTCCCTGTGGGGGATGGCGACCGATAGTCTTATTAACATGGGCTTCCGTTGTCCAGGGTAAAGTACAAAAAGTAGGCGGTAAAGTAGACCGCAGAACCATAGAACCAGCGGTGGAGCTATTATGGACACGATAGAATAATGAGCTGGTTGTTGATTCCTGCCAACGGCCAAGTTGCCATGTGATAAAAATAGCTACACTGCTGGCGGTCACACAGCCCTGAGCTGCTGAGATAAGCAACCATAGAACCCTCAATTTGAATTAGGCGTCCCGTGGCGCAGAACGGTGCCGTGTCTCTGCTGGTCCGAGCAGCGGCCTAATAATGGCTCGCTAACACCCTTAGGACGGTGATATATGTAGAGAGTACATAAGTGAGTGCTGCTATCTGCCTAGGTACATATTGGAGTCCTCACGGAGTAAACCTGATTGTTAGTAATCATGATGGCGAGAAAATATGCAGAATTGGAATTGGATTGTGCCGAAAATTGAATGGCATCCAAGTATTCATGTGGATATCATATCCGCAGTAAATGCCGAAGTTATATTTATATATATATTTCCTCATATATTCCCCAGGTCTTTCCCCCTCCTACATGGACACACAACACGTATGCGGAGATGACGATGTTGATCTGCAACTAATCAAGTCCAAAGTTCCTTAACTCTATCATCCTATGCACGGAGTACATGTGACCAGTGTATAGTTTCTCCAAAAGGGCCAAGCACAGTGGAAGACTCATAGGTATTTTCCGACCACCTAGATGCCCTATCATATGATTCATATCGTTTATTATATCATCTATCCTGTTCTTTGCATCTAGACTTAGCAATAATCAGCGGGAGAGAGATGCTACATGAGGCTTAAAAAAGAACCTTCCATTGGGTGAACACAGTTTCCAAAAAAAAACAAAGCATGATGCAATCAGCCTGGTCCCTATCAGGGATGATTATCAGCCAACGAAGGTGCCAATGACACCAGTTTGGTCCTGGTGGTAATTTGTGCGCTGATGCTGCCATATTATGGACGGCCTCTGATCTTCAATCTTTTGTCACATGATATGGCAATGACCTTGCATGTGCAATTTTCAGGACTGCTGTTGCAGTGTTGCTAGCCTAGTCCTAGAACTCCAGGTACTCCAATTCAACCCAGGTTAATGGTTCTACCTCATGCCCGTGTTAAGGCTGCAGCAGGTGTCACGAATCGTTGACAAAAGCTGCGCTATAGACAGACACTTAAATCAACCTCCGGTCCGAAACTGGGCAGGAGTCTCTTGTGCCGAACCACAGACCGCTGATTGAGCATGACTGCTGGCTCGTAGGTTTGGTCAAACACACAGCAGGTACACGTCGACCTCCGAAGGCTACCGTAATGACTCCCTTCGGACTGCTACACGGCATGGCTCCTCCATCGACCGATCTTTGCCGTTGGGTAGAAATATTATTGTCATAGGAAACTTCATTTCTTTTCACCATTACGTGTCGACATAATGTACTGTACAATGCGAGAATCGATCGGCCAGGCTGTTTGGACGAATAGCAGCAGCACCAATCCGTGTCACCCCTTAGTCGAAGTCGACTCTTCTTGACTGCGCATCCAATCTGCGAATTCCTTTCGACTTGCCTGGCAAAGACAAGGTCAGCACCAGGTTAATTCCATCGATCCAAAAACATTCGTCCAACTGGAAACCGCAGGCCTCAACTGCAAGGAGACTCTGAAGTGAATCAAAACTCACCCTCACATCCCAAAACCCAATCCTCTGCTCAAGCCCGCGGTATGGATTCTTCCGACCACCTTCTCGCTCAATCTGTCCCGCCCACGCGCTCCAGGTAATCGGCTTCAGCTTCTCTGCTCCCAGAACGAGGCCGATCGAGACCAGGACGACAGCGACAAGCGTCTCAATCGTGATATCTAACGGGAGGTCAGGTGAGAGAGATGATGATGACGACGATGACAATGAAGCGGGAGAGCGTCCGGCATTGCTGTACAGAGTCGAGTGCTCGTGTGCGGAGTAGGCGCTGGTGGATTCGCGAGATGTCGTCAGTATATGTCATCGTCCTCAGTAACGAGTAATAAGGGAAATAAGGTAGAACTCACGCATGAGCTAGTAAAATGAGACCAAAAAACGTGATCACACGGGAAAAGAACCCCATTGCGTTCGGGACAGCTGAGCTGGCTTGAAATAAATGTTTGAGGTGATTGAAATCAAATTCCCAATCAGATCTCTGCGCCTCTGCTTTTAGGCAGCTGGATCTGAGCAATCAATTGGGATCCTGTTCGCAACCACACTTCAAATATAAGAAAAAAGGGCCGCGCTGGGATCGGATCTATTCAAGGTTGATTGATATGCAGCCTGCCTGTTCAGAGGACGTCCTACGGAGTATGCGGGTACTACGGATGCGGAGAAGACCGCATTGCGCAATATTCAACACCCAACTAAGACCGTTGTGATTGCCAGAACATGAGCTCGGAAGTCCTTCAGAACTGTGAAACTGGGGATGTATTACGCATGGATTGGCTGTTTTTTTTTCGACAAATCTTTTTTTTTAAATAAAAATTGAATTATTGCTGAGCAGCAATTTCCAATGTGGCGTGTATGGAGTAACCTTCGGGAGCGTGTCACCATAATCGTATTCGATTGGTGGGGTATTTACAACGGGCTCAAGTTGGACGACAACGCTGGGAGCAAAAAGACTCTCACGTCAAAAACCTCGTTTGCTGATAGCGAAGAATTTATGTATAATAAATCGGGGTCATAAAAATGTCTTTGTAAGCACGCTAGGTGCATAGTTTTGAATTTTTTTCGTCATCTGACCAGCTCTACACGCTGGTCACTGTCTAGATAAAAATAAAGGTCATGATACTCCATAATCCAGGAAAGGCATCACAGTCCATCCTCATCATTCCATCTCTCTTAGGTCATAAAAAAACGTCTCGTTTACAGCTTCTGCATAGCGGCCTGTTTGAGTCAGTTAGAATATGCTCAGATGGTCACCGACTCGAGCAAAACTTACAATGTCGGTAGACTGGACGTGGTCCTCGTCTTCCTCAATCTGCTGCTGAAGCTCATCCAGAGAGACCTTCTCGTCCTCAACGACCAAGTTGATCTGCAGCTTCTTGATACCGTAACCAACGGCGACGAGCTTAGAGGCACCCCAGACAAGACCATCCTTCTCGATGGCGCGAACGTTGGCCTCCATCTCCTCAAGGTTGGTTTCATCATCTGAAAAAAGGTCAGCCAACCGTGGTTCATGCTACCAGGTCTGGATGACATCTACTCACCCCATGGCTTCACCTCCAGGGTGACAAGGGACTTGGCGGCCTCCTTGGGCTTGCCCTCCTTCTTCTTCTTGTACTCAGCAAGGCGAGCCTCACGCTCCTTGACGACCTCAGGGTCTTCTTCCTCCTCATCACTGCCGAAGAGGTCGAGGTCATCATCGTCACCAGCCTTCTCCTTCGGGTTGGACGGAAGCTCCGTCGACTCGGGCCCGTAGGCAGTGTAAGGCTTAGAAGGGTCTCCCGGGAGGGTAGAGAACTCCGACTCGTAGGAAGCGATGTGCTTGTACCAGCGAGCGACGTGAGGGTACTTCTCAGCGTCAGGAGCGCCCGTGAAAGCCTTGAAGGTCACAACATCGGCCTGGGAGGGGCCGTAGCTAAGGATTTCGTCAGCACCTCATTATTCCAAATGCGACCTTTACAAGCAAGACAAGGACGACAAAAAGATCAGAGATGCGATTTCTCGCAATTGGGTGTAGTCATGCGGCGGTGTCTTAAGCCGCCTCCTAAACACGGACCAATTTTTTTTCTCATCATGGAACGAAGAAGAAGCGAAGCGCGCAAATCATATTCATATTGTAATCAGTTAGACGAGGAAGCAGGCACACTTACCCAACAATGTAGCTCCTGGTAGCCAGGAAGTTGTTGGCAACTTGGGGAAATGGTTAACCTAGCTCTGAAAGACAGGCAAGAAGTGAACGAGATTAAATAGCTTACTAGTAAGGCCAGCGTCAGAGGTAAAGTCGGTGAAACCCATTGTGAACTAGATCGAGAGTGGCTAAAGAAAGAGAGGACACGTTAGACAGAAAGTAGCGGTGGGAGGATGGGGAGAACAAAAAGGGAGTCCAACGTGTCTAAATTTTAATTTTGGGGAGAATTTTCTCTAAGCGGCGTGGATGCCCCTCCTTCGCCCTAAGGGGGGCTGTTCACGTGATCCGGCCCAGACGGGCTTGGCACGGAGCTCCCGCCACTCAAAGGCTCGAGCTTTCCAGAACGCTCGCCGACTGGCCGAGAGATAGCACCGATCTTGTTATTAAGTCTTGAAGTATTTAATCTACCACCATTATGTACATTCTTTTCTTCCTACAACCATAACAATCGTTTCTTGCACGACTATGATGTCTACAAGGTTACAGATCTCTCGGAGCCGGCTGTGCCGGCCGTCTACCCTTGGATCGTCGTACAGAGTCCCGGCCGTGCAAAGAATAGGTTTCGGGCAAGCTTTTCGGTCGCAACTCTCTTCTCCGAAATCCGTTTCTCCTGCGATCTCTATCTCTCGTCACTATGCCAACGGCCGACCGAATCCTCCAGGCGGTACATACCGGATGAACTTGGGTGGTGAACCGGAAAAGCCAGCGTTGGAGCAATATGGCATTGATCTTACTGCGAAGGCCAAAGCTGGGAAGCTCGATCCCGTCATTGGAAGAGACGCAGAAATCCATCGAACGATTCAGGTCCTCTCGAGACGCACGAAGAATAACCCAGTGCTCATTGGCGCGGCTGGTACCGGAAAGACTGCCATCCTGGAGGGTCTAGCACAACGTATCGTGGGCGGAGATGTGCCAGAAAGCATCAAGAACAAACGTGTCGTTGCGCTGGATCTTGGTTCGCTCATCGCAGGAGCAAAGTTCAGAGGCGACTTTGAAGAACGACTGAAGGCGGTCCTGAAGGAGGTAGAAGATGCGCAAGGTGGCGTCATTCTCTTCATTGACGAACTTCACACTCTGCTCGGGCTTGGTAAGGCGGAAGGAAGTATCGATGCAAGCAATCTCTTGAAGCCTGCCCTGTCTAGAGGCGAGCTGCAATGCTGCGGTGCCACAACCCTCAATGAATATCGGTTGATCGAGAAGGATGTCGCGTTAGCCCGTCGTTTCCAGCCCATTCAGGTCGGCGAGCCATCGGTGGCTTCCACGATATCCATCTTGCGAGGTATCAAAGACAAATACGAAGTTCACCACGGTGTGAGGATTACAGATGGTGCTCTCGTCGCTGCCGCAACCTACAGCAATCGTTACATCACCGACCGTTTCCTTCCTGATAAAGCCATCGATCTGGTAGATGAGGCTGCATCAGCTCTTCGCCTGCAGCAAGAATCAAAACCGGATGCGATCCAGGAGCTTGATCGAGAAGTTACCACAATCCAGATCGAGCTCGAGTCGCTTCGGAAGGAGACCGATGTCACAAGCAAAGAACGCCGTGAGAAGTTGCAAGAATTGCTGAAGACGAAGCAGGAGGAGGTCTCCAAGCTCATGGAGATCTGGAACAAAGAGAAGGCAGAGATTGAAAGTATTAAGCAAACCAAAGAAGAGCTGGAACGGTCACGGTTTGAACTGGAAAAGGCGCAGCGTGAGGGTGACTTCGCGAGAGCTGGAGAGTTGCGATACTCCATTATTCCCAGTCTCGAGGCCAAGCTGCCAAAGGAGGGCGCTGAAGTCAAGGAGGGCCAGACTCTCATTCACGATTCCGTCACTGCTGATGATATCGCGAATGTCGTCTCTCGCACCACTGGCATTCCTGTCAGCAAACTGATGGCAGGAGAGGTGGAAAAACTGATCAATATGGAGGATACCCTGAGACAGTCCGTCCGTGGGCAAGACGAAGCCTTGGCCGCCGTGGCCAACGCAGTCCGAATGCAGAGGGCAGGTCTCAGTGGAGAAAACAAGCCGTTGGCATCTTTCATGTTCCTTGGTCCAACTGGCGTCGGAAAGACAGAGCTCTGCAAGAAAATGGCCGGTTTCCTTTTCTCCACCGAGTCTGCGGTTATCCGGTTCGATATGAGTGAGTTCCAAGAGAAACATACCGTCAGCCGTTTGATCGGAGCACCTGCTGGATACGTCGGATATGACGACGCTGGCCAGCTTACCGAGGCTGTGAGACGAAAGCCCTATGCTGTGGTGCTCTTTGATGAATTCGAGAAGGCCCACCGTGATATCTCGGCTCTATTGTTGCAGGTCCTTGATGAAGGGTTTCTTACCGATTCTCAAGGGCACAAGGTCGATTTCAGGAACACCATCATTGTTTTGACTTCCAACTTAGGAGCTGATATCCTCGTTGGGTCTGATCCTCAGCAGTCCAAGATATCCGAAGATGGAGAAGTCTCTCCCGAGTTGAAGAAGGCGGTCATGGATGTGGTGCAAGCATCATATCCTCCAGAGTTCCTCAACCGGATCGACGAGTTCATTGTCTTTAAGAGGCTGTCCCGGAGTGCCCTCCGAGATATCGTTGAAATCCGACTCAAGGAATTGCAGTCCAGACTCGATAATCGACGCATGACGTTGAAGGTTGACGAGGAGATCAAAGAATGGCTCTGTGAGAAGGGCTATGATCCCAAATATGGTGCTCGTCCACTCAACCGTCTGATTTCTAAGGAAATCGGCAACAAGCTGGCAGATAAAATTATCCGTGGTGAAGTTGCTTCTGGGGACACGGCACGTGTGAAGTTTAATTCCGACAAGAGTGGTCTTGAGATTGTTTCTGAGGCGTAATTGGGACGGCTAAGGAGTTATGCGGTTGTTATTTATGCATACAATACAATCATGATGCGGCGCATTTTGTTACGATTATTTGGGTATATGGGGTTTTGTTGCGGGTATTGCATATGTGAGGTTTGCAAAGTGTATAATATGTTGTACTATATGAGTCTCCGCTCAGGACGAGCTCCTCTCTATATAAAAAAAATCTAATGTAACTAATGCTACTCATGTACATATAGAGAAAACTAAGGTCTCTTCTCTTCCTGCAGCTTGAACATCCCGATTAGGTTAGGTTATACAACCCGAAACTGGAACTATGACAATGATCAGGTGCCGGCAGAGTGTTCCGCTGCTTGCTTCCTAATCTATCCAGTTCATTCTGATCCAACTGACAGGATGTCTTCTTCCAAAAGAAAGAGAGATTCTGTGTTTAGCACCTCTTACAACCCATCCTCTTTTCGCCGACGTTTCCAAGGAGGACGCGATGAGGAGACTCGACTGCCTCAAGACGACTACTCGTCAAATCGCTCCCCTAGGGTTTCATTTCCTGAGTTACAACGCCTACCAACCGACTCAATTACAGGATCGGTTGATAGGAGACACGTTGAACAAGGTCCTGAGGAGGATTTGGATGATGACCTTGAGCAGGTGATCATGGCCATAGACATCAAAGAGCACGGAACCGTAGGTTGCTGTTACTACGTCGCTCAAGAAGAGAAGCTCTACATCCTTGGTGATGTCCAATTAGGTGGCAAAGAAATCATTGAGACGTGTTTGTTTCCCTGATCACCCTATGAGTCCCCAGTTACTAACATTCGCTTGGTATCAAGTGAAGTTAGAGGTGAAGCCAACTACAATTTTGAGTTCTACTCGTGCAGATGAAACTGCGATATCGGCACAGCAGAGAAGAACAGCAGGTCGTGACGAGAATTTTGTCCCCTGTTTGTAGCATTTCATACTGACTCCTCCATTTAGACGCACAATTCCACCTCCCGTATCAGGTCGATATCCGCCCAGCACAAGAGTTCAATTGCCAGAATGCGAAAACTAAATTGGCAGCCTTGGTGAACCCAGACGTCATACAGTTTCTGGTGCCAAGTGATGGACTGACAGATGAGCAAATAACCGTGGAAAATGCGGGATTTACTTCCCAGAAAGAGAAGCTTCTACGTCTGGCTAGTCACATCGATCTGGAGAATACCGTGTCTCTAGGATGTGCCGGCGCCATCCTCACTTACTTACAACGGCGTAGGACCAGCGAATACCCTTCTGATGGCATTTCTGGCGCTTTTAGGGTGCGGTCCATTGAATCGTTTACTCTCAAGGGAACCATGTGAGTTGTCTCGAGATATAATATTAAATAATTGTTAACCGCCAAAAAGGTCTATCAATGCAGATACCCTCTCGTCCCTTCAAATATTACAATCTGAGTCGCACCCAAACGCCTTCAATCAGGGGCCGGGGAAGACATCCTCTCGTTCAAAGAACTTTTCTCTATATGGGTTGTTCTATCAGCACGTTCTTACTCCCCAGGGGAAGACTCGACTTAGACAGACATTTCTTCGTCCTAGTATCGAGCTCGATGTCATAACTAAGAGACATGACATAATCGATATCTTCTCCCGACCTGCCAATGCTCCTGCATTACAAAAGCTCAATTCAAGTCTGAGGGAAATCAAGAACCTTCGTCCTCTGATGACTAACCTCCACAAAGGCTTAAGCAATGGAAGCGGAAAATTTGGAGGGTTCAAAAGTACCGTTTGGGACACTCTTTTGAACGTAAGTCAACGGAAAGGTTAGAATTAACAAAGAATTGACAATAGATTACTATCAGTTTACCTTCCATGCCATGGATATCCAGGAGACACTTCGAGAGGTGGTTGGGGCGGACTCATTAGATTTCCGAAACAAGGCAAGAAAAATGCGGTGTCATGGAGGGCTCCGAGGCTAATATATAGAAGGTTCTCAGGGCTCTCGACGGTGCAAGTCTCCATAGTGTCGGAAGGATGATCCACGAAACGGTATTCCACTCAAGAATAGGGTTTCCAGCTGGACTGACGTGTATATAGGTCGACATTGATGATTCCAAGGAGCAGCAACGAACCATTGTAAAGCCAGGGGTAGACCGAGAGCTAGACCTTTTGAAAGATAGATACAATGGACTGGATAGTCTGTTAAAGCGGGTTGCGATCGACATCGCGAAGACTATTCCAGAAGAACTTGAGATCGACGTGAATGTGATATACTTCCCTCAACTTGGGTTTAATATCGCCATTCCTTTCGACCGCACAGGCCGCGCGGCATATGACGGAGGCGATGAGCCCTGGGAACAAGTTTTTACAACAGAAAACAGAGTCTACTTCAAGGATTCTCGGATGAAGGAAATGGATGAAAAACTGGGTGACATGTACGGGTTGATTTGTGGTAGGCTACGTACGATGATCTGGACGAAGCATCAAATATTAACATCCTAAAGAGAAGGAGATTGAAATCGCGCACGAACTTGCTCAGCGGGTACTTGAATATGAGAACATGCTTGTGAAAGCGTCAGACGTCTGCGGTGAGCTCGATTGGTAAGTTGCGTGATCGAGATCTGCAGGATGTCTGCTAAGAAGTGCTAGTTATCTAGCGATGGTGCAAACAGCGAGTATTTATAAGTTCATACGACCGAAGATGACTATGCAAAACATGATAAAAATCAAAGGTGGCCGGTAAGACTCCTTTAACGACGCTGCTTTACCCTTGCTCACGATCTCGAAGCCACCCTCTGCAAGAACTTACAGTTCCATCTTACGTTCCGAACGACACCTTCATCGTGGGAGGCGCTGGCAATTCAGATGCGCTACAAAAAGATACTTCTAATGAAGCAGGCTTACCAGAAGGTCCGAGTATGTTACTATTGACTGGACCCAATTACTCGGGGAAAAGCATGTATTTGAAGCAGGTATGGACCTTAGAGACGTTTGAAAAAGGGTCTTGCTCAGAATCGAAAGGTTGCTCTGACAGTGTACTTGGCACACATCGGGAGGTGAGATCCTTGATTTCAAATACAATATTGTGAGACTGAGAGAAACCTCAGCTTTGTGCCAGCTCAAAGCGCCGAAATCGGGATTACGGACAAAATCCTTACACGAATTACTACACCAGAGACAGTTTCGAAGGTAAGTCCCAAAGCGGCTTGTTCAGGACCGCTACTGACCTGGACCAGATCCAGAGTACATTCATGATCAATTTACAGCAGATTTCCCTAGCTTTGAAACTTGCAACTCACAGGAGTTTGCTGATCATCGATGAATTTGGCAAAGGAACTGATTTGAACGGTCAGCGTGGTCTTCGTCATTGGATTCTTCTCACTGACTTCTTGACAGATGGTGCGGGATTGGCTTGTGGCATATTCGAATATCTTCTGAACCTGGGCGATGAAAGACCAAAAGTGCTTGCTGCGACTCATTTCCATGAGATATTTGAAAATGGATTTCTTAGACCCAGACCGCATTTGGGTTTTGGACACATGGAAATCCGAGTGGACGAGAACGCTCACGAGGCCGGTGACCAAATAACTTATCTCTACAAGTTTGTGATACCATTGCCTGTTAAGGCGTTGAACGAGAAGACTAACGATTTGACAGCTTTCTACCGGGCCGTAGCAATGAAAGCTTTGGAACTTTGTACTTGCCCCTACTGTCTCCGAAAACAACTTTCTACTGACAAGAGGTGCTTCCCAGCTGCGCCGCCATGAATGGCATCGACCCGGTCATAGTTGCCAGAGCAAATGAGCTCACTGCACTCTCCGCTCGAGGAGAGGACCTGGTAACTGCCTGCGCCAAAATGTCAAAAACAGAAACAGATGCGCTGGAAGAAGCGGTGAGTATCTGTATAACGTGAAATTTCAGTCTTCCTGACCTCCACGTGGAGGGAACATCTAGTGCTGACTGGGTTTACGGCAACAGGAGCTAATCGCAAGGAAATTTCTGGAAATGGATCTTTCACCCAAGTCCCCGCGGCTGGATAGTTTCGTATCCCGGGACGTCCGGAGCGAGCTGATGGCTTTGTTGGGAAGGAATATTGTTCAAGAGGGAGGCGAACACTAGTTTCAAACAATAATGATGGAGACCGGATTTTCACCGTGCTTACCTTGCTGTATGGAGTAACAGACCGAGTAATAGTTAATCAGGGCCCAGGGTTGAATTGATCACTCCATGTTTTCTCCACCGGCCAAACTCCGCGTTCTCCATAGTCTCGGAGTCTCCACTTCCCCACACGTCACGACTGGAGCTCTCCATAGCTTCAGCAATCAGCATATATATACTATTTGAGGTTGATCAAACATTTATGGTTTCCCCAGAAAAAAGAAGGACTACCCCGCAAATACCTTTATCATGTCGAAAGAAGCAGCAATCGCCCATGAGGAGCGGTCCTCAGGGCAATATGCAACTCCGTTTGTGGAAAATGCGGCTTTGGAGAGGAAGTGAGTTAGGGTTTTGATGTTCTGCTCAGGAAGAGTGAGCGAGACTTATTATGAGATCACAGGATTTTGTGGAAAGTCGACCTGCGTCTTATTCCGCCCTTGTTTATCATGGTATGTCAAGCTCACTGTGTACCGTGGGATCATGCGCCCTTACTGATATGTTACCCCGACAGTACATTCTCAATTGTATGTGTACTACCAATTACTAGCAGAAAGACTCCAAGTGCTGATCAGACAATCTTAACGGGAAGACCTTGACCGAAACAAGTACGCAGGTATTCTTGTCGATAGTACGACGAATTAGGCTGAGAATTTCACAGCATTGGAAATGCGAAGGAGGCCGGCATGGCGGACGCTTTGCAACTCAGCTCCTCTGATTACTCGCTTGCCGTCTCTATCTTCTTCATCGGATACCTTCTCCTGGAAGTCCCCAGCAACATGATTCTTAGCCGGACTAGGCCCAGCCTCTACCTCCCGGGTCTTATGGTGGGTCTGCCTTTGCACTCTCGAATGGACTACACACGGATACTAAAAGCTTCGATCGATTAGATTGTCTGGGGCGCTATGGTGTAAGAGATTACTTCTAGAAAGAATATGTTAGATTCAACAACAAGTCTGACCGCGAATGTTGCAGCATTGGTTATACCGGAGTCAATACGAAAGGTGGTCTGATCGGTCTCCGATTCTGCCTCGGTCTGATCGAAGCTGGCTACTTTGTAGGTATCATGCCGTGATGGAGGATCCAGCATGCTAACTGCGCCAACAGCCCGGAGTTCTGCTTTTCATGAGCAACTGGTACAAGAAGGCGGAACTGGCTCGTCGATTCTCGATCTTCTACTGCGCGTCCCTTGTGTCTGGCGCCGTTGGTGGCCTCATCGGTGATTACCCATACTCCATCTTGCTGCTCCGTAGTTCCAATACCTAACAATATCTAGCCGGCTTGATTGTGGACGACATGCAACATCGTGGAAGTCTTCCCGCATGGAAGTGGCTGTTTCTGAGTAAGTCCGGATTCTCGCGTTGATCGGACTCTGCTGACGGTTCTATCAGTTGAGGGTGTCATCTCAGTAGGATGTGGCATCATTGCCCTGTATGTTCTTTCTCGTTAGTTCAATTACACAACGAGTAACTATCTGACCTTTCTACAAAGATTCATCCTGCCGGATTTCCCCGCTACAACGAAATGGCTCACACCAGAAGAGCGAGAGTACGCCATCCGTCGTCTGGAGCAGGACCACAATTCGAGTCGAGCGGGTGACATTACTCATCTGCAAAGTTTCTTGTATGCAATCAAGGACTGGAGGTAAGAAGTCGCATTAGACGTAAGCAGGTTATCCGCACTGTCAGTTAACACTGCGCAGGACTTGGCTTTTCATGGTTGCTCAGAGTCTGTGCACTTGCGCTGGCACAATCACCTACTTCATCCCAACCTTGATGGCCGCCCTGGGCTATAAGGGTATGGATGTGCAATACGTGCGTGATCCTACTTCTTACATTGTTTTTACCGGGTCCTGCTGACAGTGCTGCAGATGACAATTCCTATCTGTAAGAAAGAGATGCCACATTGTCCCCTTCCAGCCAATTTCTGACGAATTAATTTGCTTCAGATATGGTCGCGCTGGTAATCGTCCTCGTGTGTTGCTTCTCTTCTGACATGCAGAATGAGCGGCCCAAACACATCATGGCTATGGCCACCATGTCCACTGTTTCTTTGATCATCGTTGCAGCTGTCAAAAATTCCAAAGTCCGATATGCGTTTCTGGCATTTGGTAGGCTTCATCAAGTGTCTTGCATAATGCTTTCACTAACTCTCTCAATTTAGGAGCTGCCGGGATCTGGTGTTGCAGTCCTTTGACTCTCAGTTATCTATCGAACACAATCTATCGGCCGGCGGAAAAGCGTGCTGTGGCTATTGGCTTTGTGAAGTATGTACAGTACACACATTGAAGCCCTCTGCTCTCTTACTAATAGTCATTTTTACAGTGCCTTGGCAAACCTATCTTCTGTCTAGTAAGTCCTCCAGAAACTGCGGGTTTATAGCATCCTGACCGTGTTCGCAGTGGATCCTACATCTGGCCCTCCAATACTGCGCCGGCGTACATCCCCGGCTTCTCGGTGAGCACGTCGCTGATGTTTGGCTGCATTGTTACTGCACTTCTCCTCATGGTCCTTACGAAGAGGTATCCCTACGAGCTTACGCGAGATGGAGGTGGCGAAGAGCGGGTACACTCGGGTGAGGTTAGCAGCGGAGAGGTATGAGAATGGTCACAGGGGATTATATGGAGATGTATAGCAGATTTAAACAATAGATGTATGGCGTGTATTATGGGTCCTGCACCAACCAGGACTGCTGGCATAGAATTAGAAATTGCCCGTTTTGAGCCCAATAAATTTATAATACCTCATCTCTTCAACCTGATTGAAAACATATGAAGACAAGCCTTCCAGGTCTTGTTTCCTTCGGCTGATTCGAAGAGAAAATACTTAGTCTATGCCAAGGGTTTTCTACAAGTACTTTGAGATAATCTACTTCACAGACGAGTTTCCTAACCGTATCCCTTTAACCCTAAAGCCATAATTCTCGCCATTTCCCTTACCTGGTGACAGTGCGCAAAAACGGTAAATCAATGTTTTATACTCTGTATGCATTGATCGCTTCAGGCGAGTTGACAGCTGCAGGAAAAAAGTCCGAGGGTCGGAGAAGGTCCGATGGCCGGGGAGAATGTAGGTTCTGCCTGGCTGGAAGGAACCAATCACCCGTGCTTTCCCGGGCTGACTACTTACCCAATTAGGAAGGTCCATCCCATCGTCCAACTATGCCCGGACATGCAGTCAAAGAACCTGGGCGACTTCCATCAACCCATTGACATACAGCAGACGGCAATGGCAACGATGCAAGCCAATTCTTCTCCGGAACAGAGGCCCATTCCTGGAGACGATGGCCCGCCCAAGAAACGGGCGAGAAAAGAGCGGACGCTGGTGTGCAGCTGGCCCGACTGTCGACGAGTGTTCGGGAAATTCGAGCATCTCCAGCGCCACGAGCGAAGTCGTAAGCTGTTGAGCTAGTAAATTTGAATTCGTGCTGGGAGTTCCTGACCCTTGTCATCGAAGACGCCGGAGATGTTCGTTACGAGTGCCCGACGTGCAGAAAGCGCTTCGTCCGCAGGTGAGGCTCACACACCGCAAATTACTAGATGGCCCAAACCAACATCTCCTCTAGGGATGTGATGACAAGGCATGCAGCCCTTCATGGACTGTCTGCCTCTGCGGTGAAGATACCCCGCAAGATCTCTTGGTGGGTCTGGTTTATTTCTTAGTTGTCTCGACGATCAAATCACCATCGCTACTAATGCTCGCGTGGATATAGCATGTCGTGTGCCGCTATGAAAGTCCGATGTGACGGACAGCCAGGGAGTACATGCAGCAGGTGTCTTGCTTCAGGCCATGCCTGCCTGTACAGAAACCGGGGAACAACGTCAAGTCGTCCTGTGCCAATCCATTCTGATAATGCGTCAATTAACTCGCTCCAGACGGATTCAGTAATGTCATCCAATGGCCAGATGTCAACAGAGGATGCGACTCTTCATCCGACTCCGGGAGTCACTTCTTATTCCATGAATACAACATATCAGAGATTAAACGATGGTCCTGCTGCTGACTCCCCGCCAGCCGTCACCGGTAAGCCTGATCTATCGCCCTCTTGAACCATGCTGACTGATCTGCAGCGGATGATGACTTTTCCAACCTCCCTCTGGAATCACTCTATGATTTTATCATGGACTCCTCGGAAAGTTATTTTGGATGGCACATTGGCGAAGAGACGGACCATATGAAGACCCTGAATACGAATGCCCCAAATACACCCCCCGCAAACTGGCTTCCAGCTGCTTATGACTCAACTGCGCTTGAGACCCGCGTAGATGAGCAAGATACGACCCAAGGTCTTCCTGCGCTTCTACCGTCATCCCACTTAATAAGGGATGCCCAGCCGACTGATACCCCATGGGTAAGCGGAGTCAAGTGGAAATAGAGAAGATGGAAAGGCCGTAACTGATCTCCCTGCAGCCACACGTCTACAGACCAAGCAAGGATGATAGTCGGATAAATCTGCCTCCTGTCTCTCAAAAATCTCGACCAACACTACACGAGGCCCATTGCGACCATGTGACTGAGTCAACCCGCGAAGCGATGTTATCGCTGGTCGGCATGTCTCACCAATCTCACTGGCCGACAGTTGATGTGACAGCTTTCCCATCAACTCAGACATTGACGGTTTGCATCAATCTCTATTTCCGCCATTTCCACGAGACTCTTCCGATCCTTCGACGGTCCACTTTCAGAATGACGGAGGCGAACCCGGTCCTGCTTCTTGCCATGGCAGCCATTGGTGCAATGTATTCAAGGAATGGGTTGGATGGACTCGCGGTGGCCCTGAATGAGCTAGCTAGAAGAGCCATTGCTTACATGAGGGAGAGCGACCGACGAGCCATGTTTGATACATCTGTTGTCCAGGCTTGGCTCTTGCAGTCTGTTTTTGGGTTGTTCTGTGGCTCGCGAATGCTCTATCAGCATGCGGAAATCAGTCGAGGCGGTCTTGTCACGGCTGCACGGAGGATGCATCTCCTTCGTCCTAGTTTGACCTTTGTTAAAGAGCTTGAGCGACGAAAAGACACGGCTACTCCGGAAGAGCTCCGCCGAGCGTACGCAGATGATGAGGAGCGGCGTCGTCTGGGATGGGGAATATATGTAGGTGTGACTCCACAGTTGAAAGTTTGACATTAACATTGTTTACAGCTTTACGATATGCAAATTTCCTGTCTGCTGAATATTTCGCCACTTTTCTCCGTTGGAGAGATTAATGTGCCGCTTCCGAGTGACGAGGAAATTTGGAATGCACCTCCAGCTGCCATTGATTTTGAATCAGAGTTGTTTCAGCCTAAAACTTCGAACTTCCGGACCGTCTTGGATTCGCTGCTTTCAGCCGGAAAGCTGCCGCAACCTCTGAACCCATTTGGCTTCTCATTGATAGCTCACACCTTATACAGGTGAGGGCAAGCAGGCTGTCATGTGCTTTTTCGTCTCGGTCTAATTGGGTTATAGACTTTGTACGGACGCTTCTGCATTCGATCCTATCTTTTCTCAACCTTCCGTCGCGACGGATTCTTTTCCGTACCGGCTGGCATTTCCGCCGAACTTCAAGCAGTAAGCCGAATCGTGGTCGAGGTTTGATTTTCCGTTTGACGGCTGATCAATTGCATTCAGTAACCCACAGGAACTATTAGATCAGCTCTCTGCTTCTTGCTACTCTTCGTCATGCATACCGAACTCGCTGATCGTCAGTGTTTCGGCCCTTTCTCATCTGGGTCACATCCAATTTTCTTGGCCCGGCTTTCTTGACAACATCAAAATCGCCGCGGGCAAATCCGGGACGGAAGAGAGCAAGAGAGATGCAAGATTGTGGCTGTCAGAGCGGATAGCCGAGGATCCAGTCGGTGCCAGATCGATCCTCGTCCATGCTGGCCAGCTCAGCGCGCTTCTTACGAGATTTCCTTTTGAGTAAGTCGTGAAATATTTATAGCTGCTGCTAATTTTAACACGATCTAATAGCATGCCGTCGGAGACCGTTTGGATCTTTGACGTTGCCCTCACATTCTGGGCCATCATCAAATTCGGGGGAGGACTGGGTGGTGAGTTTACGGGGCAGAACCGAACGACAATTACCTGTGAGTTTTAGCTTAACATGCGTCCACTTCTCAGCCTACTGATAAACCGTATATAGGGTCTGAGTTTGATGATGTCGAAGGATGGATTCGTAATGGCGGTCCAGTGTCGTTTCAAGGTCTTGGGGACCTGGCAGAGCTGACGGTATCAAAAATTCTGTCGACCTTTTGCGAGAGGCTAGAAAATATGTCCTGGGGGATCGCGCAGCGATTCAGACACGTTTTAATGAATCTTAGCAGAGAAGAAAGGTGCTTCTAAGAGTAAATATACGTCCAACGTACATACTCCTTGATGAGTCCATCATGTTCCACCAAGGAACAGCGTCGGGAGAGCGTATACGACGATATAAGAACAGCCACCTCGCTCCAATAATCTCCCGAACAGCGAAAGGCCCGCGGGGCGGGGAGCGGGGAGTCGCACGTGGGGTGTATTGGTATTTTTCTCCACCTTGTCTCCGGTATTATTACTTATATACTGTACCACCTATCAGACATCGCGAGGTTGAGAAATTGTAGCACTTCTTCTCTTTTTTTTTCTTGCTGCGTCGTTACTACCTACCTACCTAGCTAGCTATCTACCATGTCTCTGCCCACAGAGTTCAAGCTCAACACGGGCGCTTCCATCCCTGCTATTGGTCTTGGTGAGTTGTGTATTTGCTGTGTACACTAGTACTGACCTATCTATCTGTCGACGATAATTGGAGTCTACTGGACACAAGCTTATATATTTAATATTCGACAGGCACATGGCAGGCCAAACCCGGCGAGGTGGGCCAGGCCGTCCTGCATGCGTTGAAGTGCGGCTATCGGCATCTGGACTGCGCGTTTATCTACCAGAATGGTTTGTCCAGACAAATCTACATCGTGCATGGAACTGCTGGAAATTAATGACCCTCTTTATGATCAGAGAAGGAAGTTGGCGAGGCAATCAAGGCGTCCGGCATCCCGAGAGAGGAGATTTTCATCACTAGTAAAGTGTCCGTGTCGCCATATCATATCCCTCTGCTCATGGAGGTAATCACATCAGGTGCAATAGCTGACGTGAAGCAGGTGGAACACTTACCAGCCCAACGTCGCTGCCGGGCTGGAGCAGACGTTGAAGGATCTCCAGACGGATTATCTGGATCTGTATTTGGTGCACTGGCCGGTGTTCGTATCTCCCTCCTTAGAGCAATCATTCCAATTTTTCTCTTCCTTCTAGATACTTAAATCCTTGCGTACTATACACTGTATGCTGACGACTAAGACAGCCGCCTCGTCCCCAACGAGACATCCGCGCTCTTCCCCACCAACCCAGACGGCACCCGCGCTGTCGACCGTTCCTGGAACCAGCAGGACACCTGGCGCCAGATGGAGGAGTTGTACCGCGCCGGCAAGGTGAAGGCCATCGGCGTGTCGAACTTTAGCATCCCGTACCTGGAGCACCTGGAGAAGACGTGGACGGTCGTGCCGGCTGTTAATCAGGTGTGTTGAAGCAGCAGTGTCAGGTAGAAGCTAGCAGCTGGCGGCTGACAGCCTTTTTCAACAACAGGTCGAGCTCCACCCGTACTGTCCCCAGCACAAACTGAAAAAGTGGTGTGAAGACAAGGGCATCCTCCTGGAGGCGTACTGCCCTCTGGGCTCGACGAGTATGTCGTCCTTCTTCTTCTCCTCCTCCTTTGACAACCGTCTTTTCTGACTTTTTTGTTCTTAAGACTCTCCCCTCCTCTCCGACCCCGAAATCGGCGCCATCGCAGCGAAATACAACGTCTCGCCCGCCACGATCCTCATCTCCTACCAGGTCAACCGCGGCTGCGTCGTGCTGCCCAAATCCGTCAACCCTAGTCGAATCGAGGAGAACTTCAAAGTGATCCCGCTGGCAAAGGAGGATATGGAGGTGCTAGAGGGGATGGCAGCAAAGGGGAAGCAGCAGCGGGTGAATACGCCTGCGTGGGGCCATGATTTGGTGAGTTCTATCTCCATACCTAAGACTAGATCTAGTAGTGGGTTATCAGTGAGAGAAACTGCTGCTGACGTGTGGTGTTTGTCTGTTTGTGCTGTTTAGGGCTTCGACGACTGGTACGGCCCGGGGAATAAGAATGCGCCGAAATAGAAGGACAATAATAGTAAATTGGCGGTTTGTATCTGTGTCATGGTGGTGGTGGAAAGTAGTTGCATATGCTAGCTGTGTGTACAGTACACAGTGCATACAGGAATTTAATAAATGTCATTGATGAATAATTCGACGGTTCTTCCTTCGTTACACATATAGATAGATGTGAACCTTTCATATCACGAATGACCTGGAGCTTTCTTCTCCTGCTTAGTTATTTTATTCATCAGACGAACGAACTATATTATTCGACAGAACTAATACTAATACTAATACTGTACTCCGTAGCGGTCATCTAGATCATGATATCATCGCATCTTCCTCGGAGTCTCCGCCGGCATCTCCACTGCCGCACGGAGGAGTCTCCGAGATGCGATCAGAGGAGACAGATTACGGAGTACTCCGTGATATTATTATTCATATACTAATCGCTTAAATAGCCGTATAGCCGTGCGAATGCAGATTGAACGTCACTGAGGCCTTTTTTCCCCACTACTGCGCTACTAAGCATGGTCAAGGTCTTGCCAGCCCTAGACTTAGGACCATCAGAGTAAATAATAAACCTTAACCCTAACCAGTCGTCAATCAGTATAAGTTAACTTGTGATGGGATTGGCAATAACTTGTCAGACTTAGCTTGGAATAGGATAATATAGTAGTATAATATAATGGCGTGCTAGATAGCTAGCTTGAAAGCTTTTTTTTTGCCTTTCTTATCCTTCTTCTTCTCTCTGGATAAGTATACCCAATGAACTTCATATAAACCAGGCTGGAAGAATACAGAAGTCGATTCTATTGCAGTCACTTTGCATTTACACTGTATATACGTGCATAGATACAGCCCAAGATGCAGTGGATGCCACTCTGGCATCAGCGTCAAACCTTCGAATTAAAAAAAAAATAAACGCCTGCAGCGAATGGAATATGTAACAGTACGAGAAATAAATGCATCGCCTGAGCTCTTCAAAGCTTGACACTTTTAACCAGATTCTTCTTGATGCCCGTAAGCTCACCGCCATACCCTCCTGGACCTTCGCCACCCTTGTAAATCTGCCGGATGCTACCCAGCCGCTTCTGCTTCTGCTCGAACTTCTTCCGCTTCTTGACACGCGGGTTGCGCTGCTCCTTCTTGCGCTTCGGCGCCAGACCCTTGTTCTTCTCGATCTGGTACGTGATCTTCCGCTTGCCGTCTGGGCCGATTTCCTCCTGCACCTCAACCTTGCCGCCTTCTTGTGCTGCCTTCGCATACTCTTCGGCCCGCGCCTTCTTCTCCTCTTCCCTCTTCTTCTTGCGCGCGGCGACCAGGTCGTAGTATTCGTCTTCATCTGTGTCCGAGCCAGAGCCAGAGTCCCGGCCAGTGCCAACAGCGTCTCCGCGGACCTCGCCGGCGACACGGTAGTCCTCCTCGTCAGAGTCTCCGCCCAGCTGCTCAGACGGATTGGGTTGTTGCCTGCCACGCTTCTCGGCCTCGGCATTCAGTCGCGCCTGGCGATCCTTGATACGCTCTCGATACGGCAGATCTTGATCACCGCCCGCATCGCGACCCGCTGCCTCGCGCTTGTTGGCTTTCTGTGCGATCTGGGATGTGTAGAACCGGAGGGACCGTTTTCTCTTCGCCTTTTCTTCCGCCTCCCATGCTGTGAGGGCTTCCTCATCACCGAAGTCGGAGTCATCCTTATCCTGATCTTTCTTCTTCGAGACCTTCGCAACCTTGGACTTCTTGCCAGGAGCGGATACCAGGTTCGACAGGTCAGCAAGTTCAGCTTCCGTCTGACGGAGTTTCTTCGCACGGCGAGCTTCAGCTTCAGCTGCCGCCTTTTCAGCAGCAGGTTGTGCTTTCGTCTTCTTTTCCTTAGGTGGCTTGACTTCCTTGGTCTTCTTCTCCGATTTCTCGACAGGAGCAGGGGGCGGTGTTGGCTCTGCGACTTCACTCTCCGAGCCCGTGCCATTGACCTCTGCAGCTTCGGAAGCGTCAGGTACGCGGAGATCCTTGACCGTGTCCCAGAGCTTTTTGCAGTTCACTAGAGATTGCATTACCGGATGCTCTCTCAGTTCCGCAGGGGGCAGAGCGACCGCCTTCTCCTCCCCATTCTGCGAAGGAGATGTGAGAAGTGCGAAGTACATGCTTATAGCCCCGAGATAAGCCGACAGGGCACGGAATTTGATCACCGGAACAGGCGCTGGTTTCGAGAAATCCGTGATCGCCTTCTCCGCTACTTGTGCGGCTTGCTGCAGCTCCTTATAAGTAGGCTCAAGGTCGACGAGATCTTTCGCCAAGGGCTCGAACTCCGGATACCTTGACTTCAGTATCTTGAGCCGCTCCTCCGGTCCCATATCATCCGTAATCTCTAGCTGTGGTAGCACTTCGGTGACCACGCCATCTTCGTCTTTCTTGCTTTCATCAGGCGCTTTTCCGGATTGTAACCACTCTGTCTCGTCGAAGCCAAAGTCCTCCTCTTTCATAGCCTTCAGATGCTTCTGTTGGATTTTCTTCGCTTCCTCCTCCTCCTCGAGAGCATCGGCTTCCGTTTCGATGGTATCGGCATTGTAGAAATCCTTTTTGGACGAACCCCACGCGCCAATACCATCCTCGAACTCTTCACCCTCGGAGGCAGGGCTCGACGCATCGCGCTGTTTTCGCGACTTTCTCGACTCTTTCCGAGACTCGTAATCGTCGCTGTCTTCTGCGTCATCGTCTCCTTCATCCTCGTCGAAGTCTTCTTCTTCTTCTTCGTCCAGGTCGTCCGAACTGGCAGATTCGTAGCCGAGGACTTCTTCGTCGGACGGCTGGAGAAATTCATCTGCAACGCAGTTAGCACGATTAAATCCCTCAAAAAAGATTTTTGAATACATACCATCCTCTTCCAATTTTCGCCGTCTTTTGGCCTCCGGACCCTCGTCTAAGAGGATCTGGTCGCGGCCGGCTATGAATTCATCTTCGGAGTCGTCAAACGTTTCGTTTATGTCGTATTTGGACTGAAGGGCATCATCGTCGTTCTTAGCAGTCTCCCCGGAGGGCCGACTGCTGGCCTTTCTCTTCTTGCCCATGGAGATGGAAGATAGTTGAGCACAGCTCGATGTTTGTCCACCACGCTTCTCTGGAGTTTCCCCAATTTTATTTTTTTGGCGACAAAATTTTGGAGGGCCGCACTCACCGCCTTCAAGATAGGAAAGTCTATTGGGCAATTTGGAGTACTGGCAATTACGGTACGGTACGTAATATTTCCAGCGATCTGCCGGCGGAAGTGTATTGCAGCCAATATCTCGAGGTGATTAGGTTACGGTTTACCTCTTGAGAGCGTCTTCCTATCAACCTATTGTTATCACTTTGTGGGTTTGATTCGAACCCAATTGCTCCCATGAGCTATCCGGCTGCTGTCCTGGGAGCCTCGGCCATTCTATGTGGCGTGTTGACTTACGCCGTACTCAAGATGTTCGGCTTCGGTTCACGAAATGAGTTCGTGGTTGACGGCAGGGTACGTGCCATGAGAGAGGAATTACATGAATGCGACTGACTGTCTGCTAGACCGTCGTTATCACCGGCGGCTCTGATGGAATGGGGAAAGCCGTAGCTATCCAGCTAGCACAGAAAGGGGCAAATGTCGTTGTCGTTTCGCGAACGGTTAGGAAACTCGAAGAAGCAGTGGAAAGCTTGAAGGTAGAATCCGATTACTTTGTCGGATGAAGATGGAAACTTGCTGACGATCGCAGTCCGCTGCTTCCGACCCGAGCAAACAGCGATTTCACTACATCAGCGCCGACCTCACTAATCCTGCCGAGGCTGAGCGAGTGTTAGATGAGGTGACGACGTGGAACAATGGGGCAGCTCCGGACGTTGTTTGGTGCTGTGCTGGGTACTGCACTCCGGGGTTCTTTATCGACACACCGATCCAGACCCTGAGAGATCAGATGGACACCATCTATTGGACCGCTGCATATACGGCTCATGCTACGCTGAGGAGGTGGCTGGCCCCTATCTCCCCAGAGGAGGCCAGTCAGCAGACGTCGCCGCCGCCGCGACGACATCTGATTTTTACTTCCTCCACTCTTGCCTTTTTCCCAGTGACTGGCTACGGCCCTTACTCGCCAGGCAAAGCCGCAATGCGGTCGTTGGCAGACACTTTGTGCCAGGAGGTCGAAATGTACAACGGCACCCGTCGCAACAAGAAGAATGCTGCTCCTGCCGCCGACGTCAAGATCCATACTGTTTTCCCGATGGGCATTCTCAGTCCCGGGTACGAAAATGAGCAGAAGCTCAAGCCCGCGCTCACGCAATTGTTGGAAGAGGCCGATAAGCCGCAGACCCCGGAAGAAGTCGCTAGGATTTCCATCAAGGCGCTCGAGAGGGGTGACTACCTTATCACGACCATGCTCGTGGGGCACTTGATGAAGGGTACCGCTCTCGGTCCCAGTCCTCGGAACAACATTGTTCTCGACACTTTGACGAGCTGGGCCAGCAGTCTGATCTTCGTGTTCGTTATTCCAGATCTGGCAAAGAAGGCGTGGAACTGGGGGAAGAATAAGGGACTTCCTCGGGATAAGCCAGTGAAGAAGGAGCCTCAGATCTCGTCCAAGTTGACTTTGGACCAGACTCAGCTGTGAATGAAGATACCCGATTACCCTCGTTCTTGTAGATTATTCCTAAGCGTCACGAGGTAACCTATTTGGTTACTCTTATTGTTATTAAGAAGCTGAATGCCATTCGAGCATTGAACCCGGGCTATTTTATTATGCCATTGAGGATAGAACAACCTTCTGTCTGCGTAGATTCTGAAATTAGCACATTGCGTCCTGTTAGCGCAGTCAATCGGTTCTTGTATCATTATTACGTTGAGTTCGTAACGCGATGTATGTACAGAGTACTCCTTAAGTCTTTTTTTTTCGCTGGGGTAAAAATTATATTTCTTGGCAGTTTCTGCATTGAATGACGTCGCGCGTCCCCGCGTCAACAATCAAAGTTCGATTGGAGTCGAGTTCATAGAAATATATATAACACAGTCATATCTACAACTACCTACCTAAGCCTTGCTCTCTACCTATATATTTTCGATATGTTTTGTATCATCTAACAGCAATTCTTCCTCCAGAGCAATAATTAGTCACTGTTTATTTATAAAACCGCACGCGCACGGCGCTTCTGTCGTCGCGCTCGACCAAAAAAACCAATCGAATAGTCACTGTCATATTGTCTGTCATGAACCGCAATTCCCGTCGCAAGCCATCACCACAGCGGCAAAAATGTGGTTCTTCCCCTTCACGACGAGCCTGAACTTCATCTTCTTCTACATGACATGGGCCACGCTCGTGCTGTCCCACTCACCGCTACGCGTCGAGCTCGTCGGCACCCTGGCCGTCCGCATCATCTTCTACCTACTGCCGTCGCTGCTCTTCTTCCTCTTCGACATCCTGTTCCCCTCCGTGTCTGTTGCCATCAAGGCGCGCGGCGAGCTCGGCCTGCCGACGGGCAGTACTAAGCCAGCCAGGGGGCTGTTGGGAATCGGATGGAAGGAAGCAAAGGTGGTGGCGTGGTCGCTCTGCAATCTTCTTGTCTGCGGGATTCTGGCGCAGGGCGTCGTCGAGCATGTGTTGACGAAGGTGCTGCGATATCGAAGCGCCATCAGGGTGTCGTTGCGTCTGCCGTACCCGTGGGAGAGTGTTTTGGATATTCTCAGGGCGTTTGTTGTACGGGAGGTAAGTACTCCCGTAATATATGTCCTTTCGCACAATGCGACGTAGCAGGAGTTAAAAAAAAGAGAAGTAAGACTGACATTTTCTTCAGTTCCTGACCTACATCATCCACCGCTTCGCACTGCACTCCCCACGCTCCCCCGTGTCGCGATACCACCTGTCATGGTACCATTCCCTGCGCGTGCCCTACCCGCTGACTGCGCACTACGACCACCCAATCCCCTACTTGCTGCTGAAGGTCGTCCCGCTCTACGCGTCAGCCGCAGCATTCCGCTTCCACATGACGACGTACATGCTCTTCGTGGCGCTCGTCTCGCTAGAGGAGACATTTGCGTATTCCGGGTACAAGACGCTGCCGACGGGGTTCTTCCTGGGCGGTGTAGCGCGGAGGGCGGAAATGCACGTGATCCGCAACAATGGCGGCGGAGGAGGCGGGAATTGTTACTTCGGCGTGTGGGGAGTGCTGGATTGGCTGTGCGGCACTACCGCCCCGGCTGTCGAAGATCATGAGCAGCAGGAGGAAGAGGATCAACTAGCCGAAGAAGACATCGACGAGAAGATGATCCGCAAGGCGATTGAGGAATACCGGAGACTGCTCAGAGAGAAAAAGGGCAATGGCAACAAGACCAGAAGAAGGCGGGTTAACAATAATAGATGAATATATGTCCCTCGAAGATAGTTGGATATACAGATCTATCGCATTTACCAAATGATATACTGTAGCACCTTCGTGGGAAAGGGTGTGTTCCGTTTTTTAAGATTCTTTTTTATTTCGGTCCCAACCCAAATCGACCGGGCTTTGTGGCGAACAAATAAACAACAAATATCGGTTTTTGTGTGCGACCACAATTCTAGGTAATAAAAAAAGGAAGAAGAAAGGGGACTTTCGTATCGAGTTTACATGTCTCATTCATGAAAGTTCTCTTCCCCCTCGCGCGCGCTGCAGTGCAAATGCTTCCCTCACTCGCGCATATTTCATCCCACGGTATGAGAAAACCCATTTGCAACGCCTGTCGCCCTTTTCCGGTTTCTTGAATTTTCTTGAAACATCCATCCATTAACCTCACCAAACCCCACACAGCCCCCGCTGCGCACGCCTACCCTCTACCACTTCATCTCGTGAGGCTTGTCGCCATTCCGGAGGCTGAAGCTGGTAGCCAGGTAGCTGGCGAGGAACTGCTCCTTCTTGATGTTGGCCAAAAGAGCCTGGTCAATGGCCTTCTGGTCGGCGGCGCGAGCGCTGGTAACCTTCTTCTTCTGTTCCGCACAACCCGCATCAGTAGCTGCTTTCGTCACACGATCCAGTCCGAAACATACCTCTGGCTTCTCGCCCTGCTTGAAGAAGGCCTCTTCCGTCTTCTTCTCCTTGCTCTTCTCCTTGGTGAAGTAGTCCGGTGCCGAGACCTTCTCAAGAGTGGCCGTGTCGATTCCCGTGAGATCAACCCGGGCGCTGGTGGCGATCACGTAGCGAGCGTTCACCCTCCGGAGAGGCACACCATTGATCTTGAAGGGGCCGGTGACCAGGAGAACACCCTGGGACAGGTGCTTGAGCAGGACGACCCGCTTGCCGCGGAAACGACCAGCGAGGAGGATCAGGATCGCACCGGGCTGGAGGCTTTCTCGGAGCTTAGTCGGGCGAATGGACTTGCGGACCTGGAGGACACAGGATGTTAGTTATCAATACTAGCAATCTTTGTGTGCGCTTTTGCTGCCAGTAGAAGTGCCTGAAACAGATGATGCGATTCGAGTCCCCATTCCGTATCATGGCCAGCGATCAATCGACCATTATCGCGATCAATCAAAATCGACTCTTCCTCGCACCAATCCCAAGCACCTGAGCCAGCGTGCACAATTGCAATTCCTGGACACAAATTGGCCACATCTTCTCATCGGGAGTACTGACTTTCTTGGGTTGCGGTTCATCATCCACAGGGTACCATTTCTGAGCCTTCTGGCTTGGGTGCGGAACTGTCCTCTCACCCTTTCCAAACTTCTTCGTCTGGCCAACAGTAGAGTCCGACATATTGGCTGCTGGTGACGAAGGAACGCTGGAAAAGAAAGTAGGAGGGGGCTGGTGGTTGTCGACGGTGGTGGTTGTTGAATTGATGTGTGACGGACTTGGTGCGGCCCAGGGCGGGAAATCGCGAGGTTTGTGGGCACCGCGAGCCCTATCCTTTAGCCGAAATGCGCTAGTGCCGTTTTGTCACGGGACTCGCGGCTGCCAGCCCGCCCACTGCTACGGCGGCCGACGACGACCACGCCCGCAGTCTCGGCGGACGGCGAAGCTCTCCAGGCCAAAACACCACACTGCTGACGTTACTACGGTGCTGACCAGCCTCGATATCTCGCGTCTTGGACCACAGACCCTGTGAGTCTCCGTTGTACCTCTCGTGCCATTCACGCAGACCTACGCCATGTCGATAGTACCCATTATCACCTTCAAAGCTGGTATCTGCGATCTAGATGTGAGTCTGAATGAGCTCTGATATCCCAGCTGTCGACCGGAACTGACAGCAGCTCCCAGACTTCGGTGTCTCCGCACAGAGTCAAGCCAAAGCCTACTCCCGGTTACATCTACTTGTACTCTGAAGATGAACTCATCCACTTCTGCTGGCGCCCTCGCTCCGCACCACTTACGGAGCCCGAGCTGGATCTGGTGATGGTCCCCTCAGATGGCTCCTTCACACCATACAAGTCCCCACAAGCAGGCACCAAGGCGCCCACCAATGGGCGGATCTACGTCTTGAAGTTCTCGTCCAGCTCCCAGCGGTACCTGTTCTGGCTGCAATCCAAGACCCAGCACGAGAGAGGCAATCTTAGCTGGTTCAGCCCCAGGGACCTGAAGCTGGGAGAGATTGTCAACACTCTGCTTCAGGGAGAAGAGATCGATGTCCAACGAGAAATCGCGAACCTGCCGCGGGGTCCAGGCGGTCGAGGCGGCGATGACGATGAAACCATGGAGGACGTGGAGGGATCTCATAATGTCTCCGACCACCGCGGGAGCAGCGGCGGAGCTGGCCTGGATGCGACAGGAGGTGATATCCGAGAAGAGGGCGAGGAGTCCCGGGAGGGTGGTGCGGACGGTGGCCGAGCGTAGGTACAACTCTCTAGAGCACGACCTTCATTACCTGCATATCTGTGTGCCCTTTGGTTTCGAAGGTGTTTATGGCATGTGTTTCTTCTGATAAAAAGAAAAAGAGAGGAAAAAGAATTTTTTTGAAGCACAACACCAAGACCTTCACCCCAATTTACTCTCATACTCCCAGATCCAGAGGCTTGTGTAAGGTTCATTTGCTGACCAAGGTAACGCCAGGGCTACTGTTCCGTCATCTGATCCGTCGTCTGTCGTACAGGGTCTTCTCAGGTCCCTCCAAGGGAACCAGAACGTTCAGCCCCAGGCTCACGAAAACCTTTTCACTACCCTAACCGACCTGCTTTCTCCATCGTCGACCCTTCCGATGGTCGAATCCGCGGACGAGCAAGCGGTTGACAATCTTTTGAATTTCCTGCCACCATCGTTAATCCTCCTGGCGCAAGGTGCCGAGGATGTATCTGCCACGGATGCCAACGCCGAGACCGCGCAAGCGGTATTGCTCTCTCTTGACTTGAACCAGAAGAAAGATATCCTCCGGCGAGTCCTGCGCTCTCCTCAGTTTACCCAAAGTCTCGGAAGCCTCACCGTCGCTCTCCGAGATGGGGGCCTGCCCAGTATCAGTGAAGCTCTCAAAGTCCCGGTAGAGAATGGAGGGTTCGTGCGCGGAGGTGGGGTGCCTCTGGGTGGTGGCGACGCGGTTGAAGCATTCCTGGAAGGCGTCCGAAGGCATGTAACAGAAAAGAAGGAATCGCACAGTGACGAGCGCATGGAAACCGACTAAAAGCAGTTTTGTCTTACAGCACGCATGTTACGACGTACCCTATGTACTCTTTACCCGGAAATGGAGAAATACACAGCTACATAGACTTCTGAGTAATGGACTAATAGCGCGCCCACGCTCTGATTGACTCTCTGCAAGTGAGGCTGGAACGCGGATATTTTTGGAAGCTTTTCAGATGCGTAGCTTAGGTAAAGGCGCTAAGGTTGCGGAATCCGACCGCCTATTGGCTGGACCTGAGACAAGTTACAATTGCGCGGCCACTAAAACTGGAGCCCCTAAAAGTGCTTGATAGCTGCAGCTTCATCTGAACACGTAGAAAAAATTAGATAACCGCGTAGGCTAGAACACGAGCGGAGTACAGAATAATTTCAAGCAAAAAAAAAACCTAATAAATATAGCACAGAATAGACAAAGCATGGACAGAGGTTCTCTGTGACCTGCCCGCTGGTCTCCGCGTGTCACATAAGCAACACGGCCCGCAACCCGCAGCGACAAGCCAACAGGAGACTTGCGAGGAGAAGACAGCCGATCGTCTGCATTTTAGTGCCAGCCTGCGACAGTCCAAGAGTCCAACGACCTGGTACTAAGCTTCAGGCCCTGGCCACGACCCCGGCAGTGGCTGCACACGGGGGAACCATTGCGTTGCAGAGACGAAAGGTGCCGATTGCCTTTCTCATCGCGTCCGACTTGCGTCGCAAGCAGCTTCCATCTCGAGTCGAACGGGATTCCGCCTGGTGCGCAGCTGCCATTCCCGAGTCCATTCCCCTGGTGCAACCCCACTGAGCTCGAGAATTCCCTCGAAAACCCTCCCAACGCGTCGCCTTTCTTCGCCCAGCGCTACGACAAGCAACACCGTCGATGCGGCCGGAGTTCCTTGACGACAATTCCTGATTTGCGATGTATGCGATCGGATAGCAGTCGCCAGCTACAATGGCGTCGAATGGTCACGGCCAGCTTCCTGGCCAGGATAACTCGGGCCACCAGTCAATACCTTTGCAGGATCTATCCAGGCAATCAGGGACTGCCGTGACTGGTGAGCCAGAGCGCGGGAGGACGAGGAGGAGGAGCAGCAGCAGCAGCACAACTGGCGGCGGACGCGCCCATGTTCCAAGAAGGTCGTTGATCACCGGCGGATCAGTGAGGACGTACGAGCGCATTGCGGAAGATTCCCCAAGCCCAACCGAAAGGGTCGGATTTCATCTCACGCAGCCGTCCACAGCGAGGTCAAGACCAGAGCGGTCCCCTTACATTTCCAATGGCGACAATGAGACTGTGGTGGACGATTTGGGAGGCTTTGCCCAGGCTGTGGGCTCGATCGGACTCAGTTTCGACGGGCCCAAGCAGAGCACTCGTCCTCTGGCGGGGTCCTCGACCTCTATTCACGACGATGAAGGCTATATGATGGGTGCTTATCCAGGACGGGGAGATCGGGGTAGTGTACCCTCCGTGGACGACTATTTCTCTCCCGTCGGCCTAAACGAAGACACCGCGCCCTTGACCGATAAGAAATATCTCCAACCCATCAGCGGAGCTCCAGGTACCAATGAAGAGGATCAGGAAAGGAGCAGTATGCAGACTGTTCGTCTGGGCAGCCAAGTCGGCTCACGGTTGGGCGATGATCTGGAGGTTGGAACCGGTGGAAGAGGTAGCACTGATGGCGGGCGCGCTCGTTCTCGATCCTTATCGCCATCGGCGTCTGGCTCAGCCTTGTCAATGGCAGGCTCAGTGATGAGGATGATGTCTCAGCGAGTAGTGAACCTGAGCAATGAGCCTGAAGTGGTGGAGCAGTCGATGCGACGAACCAGCTCTCAGAAGAGTGCGCGACTTGAGGGGCCGCCAGACCTTCCAGCCATGGTCGACTATCATGATCCGTCACAAGAGAGTAAGCACGAGAAGCATATCTCAAGCAAGGCATGGAAGGTTCACTCCAATCCCCTGAGGGGCAAGTCTCTTGGCATCTTTGCTCCAGACAACCCACTACGGACGTGGTTATGTGATATTCTCGTTCATCCGACCACCGAGCCGTTCATCTTAGTGGTGATCATCATCCAGACCATCTTATTAACTATCGAGTCGGCGCAGTCGGTCTACGACCATCCACGATCACCACGCTGGGGATCGTCGTCACTGGATTATTCGTTTTTTGTCATCTTCGTCATCTACACCCTGGAGCTGATCGCGAGGATCATAGTGTCCGGTTTTATCATGAATCCTATCGAATACAGTACTCTGGATCGCTCCCTTGGGCTTAAAAAAGCATTGGCTGAGAAAGGGAGGAGCCTGTTTACGTTGCAACGCCAGCCATCGACGAAGAAATCTACCGCCGCTGCTGAACCACAGGCCTCTCTTCTGCGGACCTTCACTGGCATGGAGCCCCCGGTAGATGTGTCGGACGATCCTCGGCACAGACAACGCGTTCGACTTGCCCATCGCGCATTCCTTAGGCACTCGTTTAATAGGCTGGATTTTGTTGCTGTTGTCTCGTACTGGATTGCCTTCTTTCTTTCCATGGTGGGATACGAGTCCTCTCATCATATATACATATTCGAAATGTTGAGCTGCCTGCGAATATTGCGGCTTCTGGGCATCACTAACGGTACTTCGGTAAGTCATGCGGCGAAGTGGAATCCGTCATGCAACACCTTCTAATCTGAAGAGTAGGTGATTCTTCGGAGTCTCAAGAAAGCTGCGCCGCTGCTCGTTCATGTTGCATTTCTCATTAGCTTTTTCTGGCTTCTTTTCGCTATCGTGGGGATCCAAAGCTTCAAGTCCAGTTTCCGACGAACCTGCGTGTGGATCGACCCCGAGGGCCAAAATAACTTCACCATGAACGATCCATATAACGCCCTTCAGTTTTGCGGGGGTTATCTCGATCCAGATTCTGGGAGCCCAAAGCCATGGGTTTATGCGAATGGTGAACCCTCGGGTTTTCAGCCTAAAGGATACCTCTGTCCTCAGGGTTCTATGTGTGTTGAAGGGACTAATCCTTACAATGGAACTGTTAGTTTCGATAATATTTTGCAGTCGCTCGAGCTGGTGTTCGTGATTATGAGTTCTAACACGTTCACGGATCTCCTATATTACACCACTGACAGCGACTATCTTGCAGCCGCTCTGTTCTTTGTTGTTGGTCTTGTCATTATGAGCCTGTGGATGGTCAACTTGTTAGTCGCGGTCATCACGTCATCGTTTCAAGTTATTCGAGAGGAAAGCAAGCGCAGCGCTTTCACCATGGAGAAAATCGACGATGTCAACCAGCAAGAGACGGCGCCTCAAAAAGTCAGCACCCTCAAGCGTATATACGACAAAACGGAATGGTTCTGGAACACACTCATTGCATTCGATCTTATCGTTCAATGTCTCCGGAGTGCATCTATGGGACCCGGTCGGGAGACCACCATCAACGTCACCGAGACGGTGGTCACTTTGCTCCTCTTGGTCGAGATTATTATCCGCTTTGCGTCCGACTGGAGACGTTTCCACAAGAGCAAACGCAATTTGGTTGATCTTGGTCTTGCCGTGATTACGTGCATTATCCTGATCCCACCGATTCGTAACTCTGGCCAGCCATATGCAGTTCTCTCGCTGTTTCAAATACTCCGAATCTATCGCGTCGTCTTGGCGTTCTCGCTCACCCGAGACCTGATCATGGTCGTGTTCCGCAACGTCGTTGGTCTACTCAATCTGATCCTCTTTGTGTTTCTCATCACATTTCTTGCCGCTATCTTTGCGGTGCAGCTCTTTCGCGGACAGATTCCCCAACAGGATCCCGATGGAAATACGATCCACATGACCTTTTACAATATCTACAACGCGTTCCTCGGCATGTACCAGGTCCTGTCTAGCGAGAATTGGACGACGATCCTTTATAATTCGACCAATTTCACGGTGTCGGCTCATACGGCCTGGATCTCTGCGTCTTTCTTTATCATGTGGTTTATTCTGGCCAATTTTATCATTCTTAATATGTTCATTGCTGTCATTCAAGAGAGCTTTGATGTGTCTGAAGACCAAAAGCGACTGCACCAAGTAAAAGCCTTCTTACAACAGAAGGATGTGGGAGGTTCTTCGACTGGAAATCTTGCTCTGACCGCAATATTCAAATTGGGTCGCGATTCGGACCGCTACCGAGATCCGCTCGATTACGGACCGGCCTCTATGGAGATGCTGATGAAGGATGCTGTAGTACGAGAGTTTCTCGACGAGCGAGCACCGATCGAGGACCACGGAGCGGACAGTCCGGCTCGAACGGCAGCGCGGGCAGGCAGCGTCAAGCCGGGTCTTCTGTCGCAGTGGTGGTCCAAGATCACGACGTCAATTACGCACCGAGAACCTAACCCGTTCTACTCCAAGCTGCAGTTTTCTCGAGCCTATGATGACCTGGATCCCAGAACTCTGGCTAAGGAAGTCGTTATGGCATCAGAGCAGCGAAAACGCGCTCAGCGGGAATATCTCAGGAGGCATCCGTACTACAACAAGTCGCTGTTCATCTTTGCGCCGGACAATCCCATCCGCAAAGCATGCCAGCGGATCGTCGGACCTGGCCGGGGAAATCAGCGTTTCGAAGGCGTCGACCCTTACAAGCCTCTTTGGTTCTCTTTCTCTGCATTCATCTACGCGGCCATTGTTGCGATGGTTCTCCTCGCCTGTATCACAACGCCCCTCTACCAAAAGCAGTATTTCCAGAATAGTGAATCCACTGGTTTGAACTGGTTCGTCTGGACTGACATAGGTTTCGCCATATTGTTCACGATCGAGGCTACCATCAAAGTGATCGCGGATGGATTCTTTTGGACTCCGAATGCGTACTTTCGGGGAGCTTGGGGCTTTATTGATGGCATCGTGCTCATCACCCTCTGGATTAATGTGATCACATCCCTGTACCACAATGACACTGTCTCGCGATTTGTGGGCGCCTTCAAAGCCCTGAGGGCGTTGAGGTTGCTCAATGTCAGTGACAGCGCCAGAGACACGTTCTACTCTGTCATCATCGTGGGTGGGTGGAAAGTTATTTCGGTAAGTTGACTTGAAGAATTCGACAGACTGCCCAGAGTCTCGAGCTGACGCCTACCGAGGCCGCATTTGTCTCCATGAGCTTCCTCATTCCCTTCGCCATATATGGACTCAACCTGTTCAATGGAAAATTGATGCAGTGCAACGACGGTAATCCGCCACAAAGTAATCTCAGCTACTGCATTGGAGAGTATCAGAGCTCGCCTTACAATTGGAACGTGCTCGCTCCACGGGCTGTTTCCAACCCATACTTCGATTTTGACAATTTTGCCCACTCCCTCTTCATCCTTTTCCAGATCGTTTCTCAGGAAGGCTGGATCGATGTACAATGGAGCGTCATGAGTATCGTAGGGGCGGACCAACAGCCTCAGGATTTTGCCTCTCCGGCCAACGGGCTCTTCTTTGTTGTCTTCAATCTGTTGGGATCCGTCTTTGTTTTGACCTTGTTCGTATCGGTCTTCATGAGAAACTACACCGAACAGACCGGGGTTGCGTTCTTGACCGCCGAACAACGCTCTTGGCTCGAATTGCGGAAGCTTCTCAGGCAGATTTCTCCCTCCAAGAGATCCGTCGACAGCAAGACGAAGAAATGGCGGCTGTGGTGCTATCGCATTGCAGTGAAGAAACATGGGAGATGGGCCAGATGTGTGACCACCATTCTTTTGCTGCATTTGTTGCTTCTCATGCTGGAGTTCTATCCGTCAGCGCCGCTGTGGGACGTATTGAGAAGTAAGCACTCTGAGCTGTTCTTCTTTATGGTATAACGGACACAAGACTAACATGACCAGGTATCCTCTTTTTCATCTTTACCTTTTTCTACATTGCGAATGTCGTTATCCGAATATTTGGACTGGGGTGGCGCCGGTTCAGGCGAAGCTCTTGGGACCTCTATTCGCTGGTGGCAGTTCCCGGTACTTTCATTACTATCATTCTGGCCTTCATCTTTCCCACTCAGCTTTTCCAGGAGCTGAACAAGCTTTTCCTCGTGGCAATGACGTTGCTCATCATTCCTCGCAACAACCAGCTGGATCAACTTTTCAAGACCGCCGCAGCCAGTCTGACGGCCATTGGGAATCTTCTGGCCACTTGGTTCGTTCTGTTCCTGGTCTTCGCCATCGCCATGACCCAAACGTTCGGGCTCACGAAATTCGGAGAGCAAGAGACCAACAACATCAATTTCCGGGATGTTCCCAAAGCATTGATCTTCCTTTTCCGCACCAGTTGCGGCGAGGGCTGGAATCAGCTCATGGAGGATTATGCCACGATGCGCCCGCCGTACTGCACAATCACGGACAACTTTTACACGTCGGACTGCGGCAGTGCAGGGTGGGCCCGGTCACTGTTTATCGCCTGGAACATCATCAGCATGTACATTTTCGTCTCTCTTTTCGTATCACTCATTTTCGAAAGTTTCTCTTATGTGTACCAGCGAAGTAGCGGGCTCTACGCGATTAGCAGGGACGACATTCGCCGCTTCAAACAAGCTTGGGCGACGTTTGACCCCGATGGCACCGGATTCATATCCAAAGAACAGTTTCCGAGACTTCTTGGGGTATGTACAAGGATGGCAGGCATCTTGCATCGGAAGGACACTAATATATATTTTTTTTCTTTTCTCAGGAACTCTCTGGCGTATTCGAGATGCGTATCTACGACGGTGAATTCACAGTGGGGAGCATCTTAGAGCAGTGCAGAGTCCGTCCGCGGGATTCGATCTTGTCGTACCCGGAGAACCCCGCCAACCAAGAAATCGACATTCGAAAATTGGCCCAAATTGTTGATCGAATCCCAGTCGAGAAGATTCGAGCTAGACGACGGATGTTGAACAATTTCTACGAAGAAGTCTTGGTGTCGGCCGATCCGGAGCGCGGGATATCATTTTCGGCCTGCCTGATGATCCTGGCGCATTACAAGGTGATCAACGACAGCAAAAGCCTGAGGTTTGTTGTCCTTTGGAGTTTGTTGTCTTCGTTTCTGAGCTGACCGGAGATCCAGATTGGAGGAATTTCTGCGACGGCGCACCAGGCTCCAGCGCGTCGAAGAGGCGGTTCGGCGAAACACCGTCATTGGATTCTTCGACACGCTCTACTGGTCTCGTCAATTCCGGCGCAGACTCGAGTCCCGGAAATCGGCCCGCATGAACACGGTTCCCGAGTTCTCAGTGCCCGAAATCCTTGTGGATGCCCACCAGGACGGGAATGCGGAGGAAAAGGACAAAGATGTAACCAGCGGGGCGTCATCACCCTTGGCGTCGCCAAGCTCTCTCGACTTTCCACGCTCAAGCTCATCCCCCGCCAAAGGGAAACCGACCCTTCACATCGACACGAGCGGTTCGGGACGGGGTTCTGCGGGAAGCTCGCCCACCGAGTGGGAGAGGGTCAGCTCGACCCTGTCGCCGCGCCGGCTGAGGGAGACGGACACGGAGTATCATGGCGCTGCCGGACAGATGTCTCCTGTTGGTTCCCCTTCGCCTTCGGGGCATGGTCACGATACCAGCGCGGTCAGCGTGCAAGACATGATGCAGTCCCTTGGGGAGTCCGCTTGGGGTGAGAGTATTCGACGAAGCTTCACGCAACGACGCCCGCAGAACTAGGCCATCAGCCTTAACTGGTCTCGATTGGCAATGGCGAAACGACGAGACGATGGATGGTACATATATATGACGAGGTGCGCTAATGAGATATCTACGATCTATACGGGGATGGGGTTGGCTACGTGTGGACTTCTTTTTCTTTTTGCTATATGATTCCCCACGGTTGATCCTTGCATTGGAAGCTCGATCAACGTCGCGTTACGCGTTTTTGGCCTTTTGTGCTTCTTTTTCTGTAGACGTTTCTATATATGATGGCATTGGCATGGGCGGCGTTTTGCTATTTATTTTGTCAGGCTTGTAGGCCATTGTCTTCCTGTTCTAGCGATCTTCCTTTTCTCGTCTGTTGCATACCATGAAGAGGTACCTGTTGGCTGTTGGACTGGATAGAACCGTGTATGTAGAATATCTATCTATCTACTTGGGTATGGAGCACGCTTACTTCCCTTTTCGAGGATGGTCATCGACTAGTTCCACGGGTCTGCATGGGGCTCATTAAAGCTTCGACCCCAGCATTCTGGAACCAGCATTGTTATTATTATTGCTATTATTATTGTATTATTATTTCATTTCTAGGCAGCATTATTATTATTATTTTATTATTACTGCTGTTGTTGACTGCTACCGCATCCGGACGCTGTCTGCAGCCTAGCCGCACCGGGCTAGCTGCGCAGGCGGTTTCACTGCAGCTGCAGCCATCGGAATGTGGAATGCAATAGTACGGAGTACAGACTATTAGCAGTCCTGCATGCAACATTAATCGTAGTATTATATCAGGTGCTACAGTAGGAGTGGTGCACTTCGGACTATATTCTGTAGTGTCTTGCTCTTCGATCATTGTTATGAATTAGTAACTAAGTATTATTTTCTTGAACTCGTGCGACTGCAATGACACACTTGCCGTTCGACCAGCGTGAGGTATTTATTTACTTCTCCCTGGGAAGCGACGACGGTTAGTTTTCGCTCCATTGGCTTGGCAGGCGTCATGGCATCGAGACTATTTAACAGCAATAACGTTTTCGTGATGATCCGACCGAGGGCATAATGCATTATTCCTGCCGTGCCGTGCATGAGCCACGAGGAGACTACCGGCCGCCCTACAGACTGCGACGCAGGGAACCATGCATGGTGCATTCTGGACAGTTCCAGGGAATCCCCCGTCCGAGTAATATTATTTATGCGTCTGCGCGATATCTGTCTTCTCCCGGGGGCCGACCCGACGGGATCGATCATCGTGTGACGCGTCTAAGGGCCGCGGCCCGCGCGAGTGTCTCACCTGGAGTTTGCCACGCTGGAGAAGAGGAACTGTCACTTGAGCCTTGAGGTTGGCCTTCTCAATCCGGCAGAAGAAGCAGCTGCGCCTTGCGACTATTACTCCGTCCAGCCGTTAGCCGTTGCGGTGCCTGACGGACGGGCGATCGGCTGCTATTGTTGTCACTGGAATTGCTGCGTCTGTCGTATCCGGAGGCCCGGATGCGGCAGTGGGCCCAAGGCGGTGCCTGGGCGTTCTCTGCTTCCAGTATGACTCCGTACTCCGTAAATAAACCGTACCTAGGTAGTCATTATTAGCTAGCGTTGCAATGGTCCAAGTATTTCTGGCCCTTGGTCCCGGGATCCTGGCCCTGGCCCCGGCCTCTCGTCCTTACATCTAAGCCTGTCCGAGACAAAGCATTCTTGTCCCCTTTGCCCCTGTCAGGGAAAGAATCTGGCATAAAAAAAAGAAAACTCCTAGAGAACCCCTTTCTCTGCAGAACGAGAGGGGAGGCCTGTCGTGTCTGTCTCTCCACTCCTTGATAACTCGGACGGCTGTCGTCACAATTAATATCGCGGCCCACCGCCTTGACCTCTCAGTTCAATCTGCCGCCAACGCGTCTCTCAACACTTCTCTCTCTCCTTCACTCGCCTCTCCCACCCTTCTCTCCTCCTCAACTCGCCTAGCCTCCAACCGATCCTTTCTCGAACTGCCGCAGACGCCGGAAGCATCTTGACGCGGAAACGCCAGAGCCGTTGAGCTGAGTGCTCTCAGCCGAAGAACAATCCGGGGCGAACAGCTGGCATCTAGAGCTTCGGCTTGTACAGCATTGTTTTGACTCTTCACTTCGCAGCCGGGCAGGACCTTGGACTTCGTTTTTGTTTTGGTTCGCTTAGCGAGCTCGCACTACGTCATTTAATAATAATTCCAAAGAACCCTCCATACCCTCCATTGCCCGGTTCTTGCTGTCTTCCTGGTATACTTCGATCGCCATCTCTGCTTCGGATTAGATTCCCATCATCATCGACTTCATGATGCACCGTCAGAATTCACCAAGCCCCAAGGCTCTCGCTCCGTCTCCTCTGGCGGATTTCGGCCTGTCTCTGCACACAGGATTCCATCACCATCGCACAGAGAGCGACTCTGCTTCAGCAAGCCCAAGCTCGGCCACCGCCAGTCCCACGTCGTCTCCCGGCTCGACCTTTCACAGCTTCTATCGGAAGCACCGCTTCTCCGGCTCGAATCATGCCGACTCCGACAGCCGGAGTCGCAGTCGCAGTCCGTTCACCGTCGCTTCCTTCTCGTCCCGCCGCTCGCCCGTCTTTCTGCGTCACCGTCCCTCCGCGGTAGATTTGGCCTTGAGTGAAGAACGGTCGCGATGCGACGAGGATGCCATCGAGCGGATAGGCCTGAGCATGATGGAGCCGCGGCCGGTCGATCCGATCCCGATCGCCATGGACCTGAACGCCCATGTGTTGGGGGACATCTCGAGTGAACGGAGCTCGTGGATACAATCGCAAAGCCAGTCGATGCGAGTGAGCCCGCAGCCGCCACGGTTCGTGATGGGCGGGATATTCGAGGTCATGGAGGGGGAGGCTTAACCGATCCGAACGGCACGGACGAGCGGCATCTCGCTGATCTTGACAACCTTGACTGGGTTGGCATTTCAACACTCAAACTGCTTCATGCTTTATCGTCAACTTGTCGATAATGACCAAGTCTGAAGCAGCACCAGTTTCGGCATGATATTCACATACACAAGTCTGGTCTCGACTTTCTTTTCAGGCATTCTACTATTCGACTCGGCTCTGGAATATTCGGATATGGCGGTATTATGAACTTGATCAGAACTGACTACACTGCACTGAACTGCACTGGGACGTTTTACATGGTTAGGGACACGGAGTCAAGGCAACGGCGTTATGACGATTTGATTTTGTTTTTCCTCTTTTGATCATGATATCTGGTCTATTGAATCGGGCGGGACTGCTTATTATCTTAGTTAGTTGCTGGTTTTTTTATTGCAATTTGCAGATACGTCGGTATGCTAGAGAGCAGAACAAATTATCATCTCCATGCCTGTTTGCCTCGTCATGTGCGATAGCGAACTGATCTGGACTGAATTAGATACGATACTCATCGTCAATTTAATTAATTAAATTCGTCTCAGTCCTGCACTGCAATTGCCAATTCGCAGTAACATAGTCTAGATATAGGTACACAAGTACAGACAGGTATGTACTGTACAAAGCCATGAATATGGACGAGCCTAGATTTTGCCATCAAATCTTGCCATGCATGTCCTTACTAAAGAATGTGATAGTGTGTACACCCAAAAAAAAAGGATTTAATGCTCTTCTTCCTTCAATAATAGAAGAGGTGATGACATCACAAACCAGTCTAGCAGTCTAGCTAGGTAGCTAGATCCGGTAGTCAAGTACTGTACCTGACCCGACCCGTCCACCATGGATGCCATCGATCCATGGTAACGCTATACTATACTGATGACGGAGCATCGCAGTTTTCGATCCGGTCGAACAGCTTCTGGATCGACTAGTCACCAGCCTCGTGAGCATGTACTGTACCTACAGTACCTACCTGGCTTCCGATCCGTCAGGGCAAACTGCTGCTGCCTCAGACAGATCCGGAAGACTTTTCCGGCTGTACCGTTGGTCGGGTTGAACTTGTTTGTACGGAGTATTGCTCCCCCACAGATCCTTGCGTTGATGCGTTGTATAAACGCTATAACTGACTTCCACTCCCTTTCGGACGAATATGGAGACTGCCCGTCGGGACCACCACCATACAGCAGACTCATATTCCTTGGTGGCTTGTCAAGTGTTGATCGGAACAGATAGGAAAAGCTACAGCGTTTCGTTCATGGTGTACTGCAGGTAGAACAGGACTTGAGGCGAAAAAATGGTGATCTTCTAGGTGTTATCATAAGTGCTGAACACGTCCAGAGTTGTTGCTCACAGCTTTCGAAAGATGGCTAGATGCCGAGCAAGGTTCCAGCACGTCCATCCCAGCAGGCCTGCAGCCGCAGTGGTGTCTCTCCCAGCAAGTGGGATATCCATTCAAGAGCTGGCTTCAGAGCACCAGTGGGTCTTTCATGCCTTTGACCAGCTCTTACAGGAAAACGTATCTCTATTTTTTTTTACCTAATACTCCAGTTCCGCTCTTCTCTTTGTCCAGCGCCTTTTGGACAAAGTGCTCTGCAAAACGATGGATTTCCTTGCAATCCTCGCGGAATGATCGAGGGTTATTATACAGCCAGCGACCACAGACACTGAGTGCAGCTGTTCCATTGTCGAAATGCGTTGCAAGAGACTTCTAGTCTAACTCAGAATTAGAGACATCATGGCCAGGAAGACCCAAAAGCTGCAACTATACACTTTGCTTGAAGAGATACTCCGTGGCAGAGTCAACAGTTACACGAAAGAATAAGGCCCAAGATCGACCTGGACAGTCCATCTAGACGCATCCAGCTCGAGGTATTTGAACATCATCATCTGGACGTGTGTGTCTCTTCGAGCTCAATGTCAGCGACCTGGTCGCGAGTGAATGAATTGCGGGCGAAGCATTGCTCACGAATGTTCTCTATCCACGATGTCTCGCTGTCCCAGAACAATATCTAGAGGAAAAAGGACAAGAGGGCCTGTTCAGGCGTAGGCCTGCCATTACGAATCAGAATCACCTGGAGGTTTTTTTATTTTTCGCCCATTACATGGGTCTACTAACAGGACCAGAAATGCCCATAATATACCTAGCTCATAGAAGGAAGGCTGCGCTGCGCAGGCGGTAAGTCAAATAGCTTTAATCTAACCACAGGTTAGAGTTTCAGGATGTACTGTACATACAGCCCGGGCGGGTGCTAAAATGAGAAAAATTACTACATCCAGAGAACGTGACATCTGGGACAGTCATCTAAGGGAACTGCAATGGTAAATAAATAATATTAACGGGTTTATTGATTTAAAAAAACAAGAGAGGCGTTGTTAAGTCAAAAAAAAAGATTAACTAGTTTCACTGTACTGCCAGGGCAAGCCGCGTTGTCGCTTGCTGTCGCAACCCATCTGTCAAGTGTCAACTGGTCAAGCTCTGCTGCCTGACAGCCCAGGCAGCGACTTCCCTGAGTCCCTGACATTGAGCTGGTTCGGCTCAGCTCAGCTGACCCCTAGGTTAGTCGAGCTACTCTTCGATTATATAATCATTATATAATCAAAGATTCTGAATATTTTCTTTATTATTTAAAAATTATTTAAACTAAATAAAATAATGATTTTTAGTTTTTTTTAAAAAAAGATTACTGTATTGTTGAGTGTCAATGATAGATCCAAGTCTATAAGGCACTTAGACCCACTATAAGTGGTGAGCCTAAAAGAGGTAGACCTAAAAGAGGAAGAGGAGGGTCAGTGTGGGACTAAGAGTGGGCTCGATGAGCCGAGCCGGGTCCCAGACTCGGCATGCAGCAACCTTATTTTCTCTATATACAGAGTGCCCTCCCATAACTACCTACCTCCTCTGGTTTTCTTTTATACAATCTTCCTGAGAGACCTTCTAAATGAGGTCCTCCTAGATGAACCTAATAGGGAAATTAGAGCTGAAATCCAAGAGGAAGTCAAAAATCTTGATTTTATCCTCCAAAAGCTCCAAAACCCCCAATTAGCCAACCAAAACCCTAGGAATCAAGCCATTAGTCAGCTTCAACAAGAAGTGACTAATTGTTACGCGCTGGGTCCAACCGTAGTCGTCGATACTTAACAGTGGTGGTTAGGGAAGGATCAAGGAGTCTTCCGACTCTTATGTCGTTCACGAGCACGCGACGGTCTAACTGACCCGGGTCTCCTTCTCTCGAGACAACGGCCTACCTGGCGAAGGGCTCTTCCTCGAACGTCCTTTCACAAGTATAAAAGGGGTCTCCCAAGAACACACGATAAAGGTATCTTAGACGAACAAATAGCAACGACTAGGTCAGAGGCAACGCCTACTAGAGCTATACCGAAGTATACCACTAGTAGTAAGAAGTCTTACTGACCCCCAGAGTAAGTATCTTAGTAACAGAGAAAGACAATGAAATTGAGCGCGAGTAAGGAAAGACTAGATACATGGTCGGAATCCTTCCTCCTTTTATGCCTTCTCCCGAATATACCATTTTGTATACCTTTCCTGGTATATCTGGATGGTATACTTATACCATGTCACGTGACTTCTAATGGTATACCCGTATGTGTAACTTCTGTCTCGCGGGGTAATCGTTTCATCCTGCATCGTGTTATGAGCCAACAGGAGATAACGCTGTCCAACACAGCAATGCAGGATGAAACAATTACCCCGCAAGGCAGCAATAGGGCGAACTCCAGATCACGTGACAAGAATGAACATTGAGGATCACGAGGAATGGTATACAGGATGGTATACGAATGGTATACGAAATGGCATACGAACGAAGGGAACGGTATACCATAAGGAGTACCGAAAGAGGAACCAAAAGGGGGGCCGAAGGAAGACTGGAAGAAACATAAATAAGGACAATTATACTCATGTATCTAGCCTTTCCTTACTCGCGCTCAATTCAATCCATTTAACCTGAGTTACTAAGATACTTACTTTGGGGGTCAGTAAGACTTCTTACTACTAGTGGTATACTTCGGTATAGCTCTAGTAGGCGTTGCCTCTGACCTAGTCGTTATCGTTCTTGTTCA